CGTCGAGTTCAACTCCCGCACTATAGTCATGCACCATCGCTAGAGCTTCACCGGCCTGTCCAAGTCGCGGCGAGATGGCGGTCCTGGCCTTGGACCCTTGGCTGCTTCACACTTGAATAGCTCTACCTTTTCTTCAATTTTTTGGGACGAAGAGGTGCTCTCAAGACCTCAGTCAACGTCCAGAAAGAAGCTTTGAACCATTTATCACCTCCCAACGCTCAAGAGCTCTTCGCAACAGCGGCAGATGGGAATTGGCCAAGCCTTTGTCAGATAACCCCCCTCCCCGGTTCGGATTCCCAAGGTGGAGAAGAGATCGGGACGTGAAGGAGAACAGGGGACCCGGAGCTTCACGGGTAATCTTTGAGCCATGCTATTTGCAGATGCAAATGGTGGGCCACATGTCGTAAGCACTCCTGCTCTCCTTCTCCCGAATACTACTTTGAAGTTCTTCTGAGGGGATGCCGAATGTACGAAAGCAAGGTACCTACTTTTCGCAAAGGAAACCCGCCACCAAGCCATGCTTGCGCTATAGCACCGGCTTGACGCCCTGGACACTAGGCATAACGCCGCTCCAATGTGGGAGAGTGCGTGGTTGACGAATGGACAACGCGGATTGCGGTATGACGGGATGCCGAAAGTTGGAAAGTTTGCTAGCTAGCTAGGCGGAACTACAATGTAGTCCCGTATGTTTTTTCCCTTGTTACTCAAGAAGAAAACATGGCAGTAGTGCGGGAGAGTACCGACACCATGGCCGCAAACCTGCTGACAAACAGCCACCGTAGGGTTTTATTTCTTGCAAATAGTCTTCTATGCAGATGATGCCAGCGGAATCGAAGTGAGGCTCAGCTGGTGGGCAGGCGGAGAACTCGGAGAGCCTCAGAGGAGATCGTCGTCCTGTTTCGACCTTGTTCCCCTCCTTCCCTCCCCTCTGCCCCCGCCGCTCAAGTTGTGATTGCCGTTGCCAACGGCATGAGCAAGGCCGAGAAAGCGGGGGAACGATGCATTGTGGGTATTTGTATGTCCCAAACACAGTTCGAAATGCGACACGCTCGCTGATTGGCCTGCAACCTTGAACGAGTGGTTCCAAAAAAAGGCAGAAACATCTTCATCTAGGTATTGCGTCGGTGGGGCAAGGGTGATGTTTGATCTGGTGAGGTGTTGTGGAGGGGTGAATGAGTGAGCCTCTCTCGCGCCCGCTCTTTTTGAGACATCTGGCTGTTGATTGACAACCACCGACCTTTCCCCAGTTACCATTTCCCACAGCTATACGGAGGTATGGATACGGGCGATAGGGATAATAACCATGGTGAGATGGAAGGAGCGGAGCAAGAAATGGAACGTCTTGGCAAGCTTAACTTTTTGACGTTGGCTGGGACAAGGCATCAAGTTGAGGACCCAACTAGGTGCCTCCATCTCGGTCTGTCTCGAGACATGGCATGCGCATGTTGCAACGATGGGTCTGCGGTATCACCTAACAACAGCCAGGCAATGATCACACAACATGGCGAGGACCCCTCCTGTTATCTGTGAGTCTGTACCTGCCGAGGAGGGGGGGGGGTAAGATCTCAACGTTGTGTGTCGTGGTGTGTGGTAGGTAGTTGTGTGAGATGATGGTGTGTGCCGGTTCGGGTAGATTGTTTACTTGTTTTCTTTTTTGGTGTGTGCGAGTGTGTGTTGTTGTTTTGGTTGTTTGGTCATTGATGGGCGTCAAGGAACCGCAACTCAAAACACAGGCCGGCAGGTGGCCCACCATCTGGCCCTTGCTCGTGGTTCCTTTCTTACCCCCCATGTCACCTCGTCACCGTGGGCGGGGTCAACCGGTGGTCAAGACTCGATCCCATCTCATCACAACATCAGACCGGCGGCCACCCAGCTGGGTCTCTCTGTCTCTGCGGGGGGATCGTTTCTTCTTCCATCTGTATTGTATTGCTCAACCACGCGGCTTCTGCTGCTGGGCGCAGCACAAGATCTTGGGATAAAAAGCTGCACGCGCTGTGTATGTGTGCGTGTACATATGTGTACCAGGGTCTCACAGAGATCATCAGTGGCAGAATCGATACCGCGAAAGCGAGATACGTGGCCTACCTAACTAGACGCGATGACAAGAAACAGACAAGGAGGGGTAAGGGGGAGAAAAAAGAAAAAAAAGAAAAAGGTCCCGGCTTGTTGATGCCTCGGACCAGCTGAAAGAAGATACCGGGAGGCGGGGAGCAGGACGAGGGACACTTCCTCCGTGCGTAGTGCCGAACTTTATGGCTCTGTGGATGTCAGATGGAGTTGCATCGTCTGGTCTTTCTTTGGAGACCTGTTTGTAGGCCTTGCTGATCTCCAACACTGATGCTTCAGCTCCATCCCGCACATCATACCACAAAACCCCATCCTTTCCGGTATACATACTCTTGCTTGCTTCTCTTCCCATGGCTGACTACCGGACCGGTGCCAGCGGCGTAGCCGTTGGTGAGTGGGAGAAGGACGAGGAGGAAGAGACGGCGACGGTGGCGATGGTGGCGATGGCGGTGGAGTGTAGCAAAGACGGTCGCAGAAGACAAAAGTTACTAAATAGTAAAACCTGAGCGGGTTCCTGCGAGATCCAAGGCTGTTCCTTGGTTGACTTGATAGGAAACGGCTCGGGGTAGGCTTGGGATGCCGGTGTTTACAAGTATACTATCGACTGACTTCACGGTCCGCTCATTTACCCTACGCACGCCAACGTGCAGGGAACAGACTTTCTGGTGCACCTCCTAGGCGTGGACTCATTTACCTGCATGAGCTGATGTGGTCATGGTTATACCATACCTTCCTGCTGAAACCCGGACACTCAGTTGAGCAGCCGCCCAAGATAGTCTTGCATGTCTCGACATGAGGCAAGTCAACGGAAAATGGCGGCATGCTGGTGCCCATGGGCTGAACGGGCGACGGCCAACGACAGCCGACACGAGGCAAGGGCAAGCTTGGCAACGTGAGTTATATATGGGAGACAGACAGGTTTGCTGCATGTGTTAGTGGTGAAGTGAGCGTGGCTTGACGTCGTGCAAACGTGGCCGGCGACACGAGCTGAGGCTTCATAGGTATACTGTGCGTGGTACGGATACAATGTCCACAATGATAGAATGTCGACGGGACGCCGCCGCCATGCGGCCTGCAAGCTTGATGGTTTGAGCGTGTTCCCAACGGGTTCACAGGCGGGCCCATCAATGCCATCCGCTAGCAATGGTAGGCTGCCGCTGGATGAGCCTGAATTAAAAAGAAGGCGAGTAACAGCAAGCAAGCGAGTGTTGCGGCGCTTCCGGGGATCGATACGGCTGGGTTTCTCCCCGAGAGTGAGGGGGCGCTTCTCAGCTCAGGCATGGCCCCTGCAAAGGATAGCCCTCCGTCAGCTCTTTGAAAGCGACGGGAGCTGCAACTTTGTTGCTGCACGGCTCCCCCTAACATCGGCAAGCAACCACGCGAGATTCGGGCAGGGTTATGGTGGTGGTAATGAAAGCAAAGTGGTGAAAGTGAGACCAGGTTCATGTTGGCAACATGGCGAGGCACGACGAACGTGTGTTGAGCTGGGCCGCGAGATGGCCTGTGTCCCTTTTTCCTGTCATTACAGGCCGGTCGAGAACACAAAAGGTTGGTATTATTTGAGGAAGAAAGGAAAATAGTCTTCTGGGGGGCCCTGATGGTGCCTGCTGGACTGTGCCAAGGACGTGAGATAGCAGGTCTCAGCCGATCTCGCGCTAGGAAAGGTGGTTGTCTTCCGGTGTTTCTTCTTCCCACGCACCCACGGCAGCCGGATTTCCCAGCCTGCCTTGATGTGCTTGGTTTCTAGGGCAAGGTAGCCTCTGTATGAAGTGGCAGGGGGTGGTACCGGCGGCCTGGTGGCAGTGGCGAGGCACCGAGGGTAGCATGAGCTGGTCCGTTTGGGTTGTTTGGAGAGGAGGGGGCGGCCGCAGAAGCAACAAAGAAGCAATGAGGCTTAGACTTGGATTTTGTACAGGTGAGTGAAGAAGGAACTCGTTGAACATTCTGGATGAGCATAAGTCATCCTGGATGGCCATGCCAATGCTACTTTGGGTGTGGTGGAAGATGAGAAGCGGAATAGAAGTGGAACGTGGCGGGTAGTTGGCGTTGGCAACTTGCCTCACCATCGAAAATAGCGGGCGAGGAGGAACAAACGATGCGAGGACAATGAAAGGCAGCGGTGCGTTGCAGGAAGGATTCCGTCGGGCTGCTGTGAGTATGATAGCAAGTGGTTTGCTCTTGTGCCGGCTGTGTCCTGTTGCGGTGTGTTATCAACGGGTTATGCGTGTAATTGCCCGGGGGGCAGGTCATATCACGGTATCCGTAAGTTGGGACAAGAAGAAAAGAGTGTGGCAGACTTTAGTCATTGTACAGAGTGCTCTTTCTGTACTGGTAGATTCGTACGGATAGAGTGTAAGGTAGTAAACAGGCACAAGTTGGACAGAGGGGTTAATTAACGGTAGAATTAAATGTCGTATTTTGTATAACGACCACACATTGATGTATAATATAAGGTAAGGTAAGGTAAAGCATGAGGCAGGAGGGAGGTACATGAGGCATGTACTTCGTACATGGAAGCAAAGCAAGGAACGGTCCAATGGGTGGTGCAGCGCATCGCAGGCAGGTCCCTGGGCGCGGCTTGCAGGTCCGTCATTTCACCATGGCAGCGACTGGCTCGGAGGGCTCAGCAGTCATCTCCTGCTGCTCCACGCGTCCACGGCTACTGGAGAGTGAGAGCCACCTAGCGACGGGGGAGGGCCCACTCGCCGTCGTAGGTGCCTTATGCATCTGCAAACATGGGTAATGCCCTGGGAGTGGACACCCGTTCCTTTCAGGTTACTGCGAATAGCTAGCAGCCATCACCCACCTCATGGCTCATGCCCAGTGGCTCTTGCGCGCACCTTAGTCTGTACTCGGTACTCCGTACGGTAGCAGCGACGCAGTAAGGTACCTTAGCGCACGTATTGGCCCGCTTGCCATTCCCCGTTCCCCCAATGCTCCACCTCACCTCATTCTCCCGTCACACTCTCTCTCCCTCTCTTTTTTGCCTGTGTCTGTGCCTTTGCCATTTCCTGCTTTTGACATGGGGTTTTGAAAAAAAATACAGGAAAAATAAGAAAGGAAGCCATGGAAGGGGTAAGTAGTAAACAACACAAAGACAAACCACAGCCACAACCACACAAAACTACAAGTCTACAACGATTAGACACACGACGAAAGAGAAGACTCGGACGAACCCATTTCTCTCTCCTCGTCCTGAGTTCCTAACTCCCTGGGTCTCCAAATTCCCGATTTCTCCAAGACGATCCACGCCCACCCTGTTCGACAGTCAGTCAATCAACAGAGAGTCAGAGACTCGCTCAGCTAGCCTGGTCCTTCCCGGTCTTATCCTCTCTGGGAACGACGACCCTGCTTCTTCTTTCCATTCTTCTTGTTCTTCATTAGCCATCCGCCCTCTGTACCTGGTTTAGCTGGCGATTCCTCGACTTGTACTCTACCATTGCACACTGAGACTGCTTTGTGCTCTTCTCTGCTCTGCAGTGCATTGCTTCCATAATCGTCCATTCCTCTTTGAACCAACCCCCCCGACCTCGACACTTTAGACCAGCACTGACACCACCGACACCTGGACCTGGACCTGCACTTGGACACGGACTTGGACCTTGACCATCTGAGAGAACGAATGAACTCACACGGACACACACCACACCCAGTCGCCCACCCCGTCCATCCATCCCGTCTCCAATTCCACCCACCTTGCTCTCCTCCTCACCCACTCTCGACTCGCCCTCACCTTGACCTGCGCCTATCCACCCGACCTTACTACACCTCAGCGTGTCCGGGTCTGGCTTGATCGACCTCTACCGCGTTCAACCCGCTTGCGCGCTTCCTCCTCTTCCCTTCTCTTCGGTCCCCAGCGTCCTTTTTCTTTCCATTCGGCTTCTATTCTGGTACATGGGGGGTTTTCCTGGACCCATTGGGCGTAATACTTGAACGTCCGAGGGCCAATCTGTCCGTGCGAGATCAGGGTCGCCCACTGCGATTGCTCTTTCGCCCTACAGCCCTTTCTCTGTCTCGGGCCTCACTCTCGCTGCTCAACTAGACGTCCTCCCCCCCTTCACCACTACCAGCTTGACCACGGCCTCGCCTGGGATTCCTTTACTTCGTTTCGACCTTGCGCCCCTGTTGTCTCCATCCCCTCTGTCTCTCACTTTCGCTCCCTCTCTCCTTCTCCCGAGACCCGTCTTCTCTGCTCGCCGAGACCGCGACACCGACGTACGCAACCCAGTCAGTCCAGCCGCGAGCCACCCACGCACTCTCAAAACACCAAGACTCGACGCGCATTCCTCGCCATACGACCCGAGAAACTGGCCCATATGTCTTGACGATGCTCACCACACCTCTCGAGAGCACCCACGACTCTTTCGCCCGCATGCCCGCCTTGGGCCTCGTAGCCTGGTTCTCCCGCGTCGAATAAAGGCTCTGAAATCATGCAGACCGTTCCCAGTGTAAGTTGGATTGCCTCCATGCTTGCTTACTAGCTTTCACCATCCACCCCGACAGGCATCCCCCCAACACCTGCTTTGATCACGACCGCCCGATACCGTGTTGCTGCGCATGCTTTCTTCTCCCATAGTAGACACACCAATTCCGCCCTGTATGGGGCTTCCTCATTTCCCATACACTCCTCCATTCCCGTGCCTCAGCACCGGTGTCCCCTGATATCTTACCCTCCTTTGCCTGGTTTATCCCATCTCTCTCCTGCTGACTCGTCGCCTCATTAGCTCGTGGGAACTGGCACTGCCGTTGCTGCAGCGTCCGTCGGTCTGGTCTTTGCTCATCCCGACGCTTCGAGTTCCACACACTCTGCTTCCAACAGGAGGATACTAGTCTCAGACCAAGACATTCCTCCGAATCATCGACTGAGCAGCCCTCCCGTCTCCTCGCGGCCCGGCACCAGTTCTGTTGCCCAGTTGCCGACTCTTGACGACGCCCGCTACACGGCACTTCCCAACCACTTTTCCTTTACCTCCAACTCGAACTCGAACTCGAACGACTCTCCTGCCGAACCCTCTGCGCGACCCCGCCGTCCTCTCAGCTCCCACTTCAACTTTGCGCCTTCCCTATTGCACAGCAGGAGAGCGTCCTACGTGAAGCAGGGAGACCACGCTGCGCCCTCAGTCACGGAGGATTCGAGAGACTCTGTTTCTTCCAGTGGGTCATGGATGAGGCGCCTGTCACTACGGCCTTTGTCACAACACGGAAGCATCAGGTCTAGTCTGGGATTCGATAACCAGTCCGTCGCCTTTTCACACGGTTCCGCCGCTCCGATCCTGTCGCCTACCGGTTCCATCCCTCCGCCGTTGTCTCCGAATAAACTGGTGAAGCGACCGCCCTCGGCACACCAGAATGGGCCTGTGATGCGCCGCCGCTCCAGGACACACCTTCCCAGTCTTCGCCGACCAGCAACGAGCCACCAAAGATCCGCCACCTTGCACCAGATCCATTACGACGGAAATCTTGTCGAACCTATCGCGGAACCCAAGTTCTCCTTTGACCAATACCTCCAGGAAGCAGGAGAGGGCCCCGTGCCGCCGCGACCCAAGGGCGACTCGACTTTGCAAAAACCAAAGTCAACTACCAAGTGGACCTCTTTTTTCCACAATCGCAGAGCAATTATCATTGCGCGGAGCGCGCCTGACCGTTTGATTGACCGCAGCCCCAGCGCCCGATCGACCTCCGCGACAACAAAACGCATACTGGCACCCGACGGCCAAAAACGGGATATTTATTTGATTAACAGCGGCATGCTAGGAGGCTCAGTTGCGCCCGTCGAAGAAGCCCCGGTTCTCATTGAAGATCCGCCAGTCCTCGACGAGACAAACGACGAAGCTCATTGTGAGAAGGAGGAGGAGGTGGAAACAGAAACACAAGAAGATAATACCCTGGCAACATCAGAAGACACCCCGACCAAGCGTACGCGCCGATCGCTTTCAATGCATTTCAACTCCCCGAATTGGATGCCAAGGACTGGCAGCCTTCGTCGGACAAAACGCGGGGCGGAATCTAAAGGCGGTGGGAATAAGCGGCATGTGTCTGCGCCTGCGACGACATCCCCCGTTCAGGCGCAGGACAACCTTGCTGCGCCTGCAGACGAGTCTCAAATGTCGCCAAACCATCACCCTGTCGCCAGCCTGGACCCCACAACGACTACACACCTCAGAACACGCAGCCGTAACTCTTCGTCGCCCTTGCCGCCGCTCTCGCGTCTTTCCAGCTTTAACGTCGACGTTTCTAGACTGGGCTCCTCATCGGGAGGCGTTACTCCATCTCCCCGCTCGATACATCCTTCTGGCAGTTCTCAGGGCTCGGCAGCGTTGGCTGCGTACAACCGCAGCGCTACGACGGACCGCAGTTCGACAATGAACAGTTCGGATTTCGATGCTAGATTTATCTCTGGCGACGATGATGACACGGACTTCAAGAGCGACACCATCTTCGACTCGTTGCGAACTGCCGAGTCCGATCGCAATCGCGCAGCGGAAACCCCGCTCGACCACATGTTTGATGAGTCGCCCCCAAGCACTGCTGGTCATCCCAAGACCAAGCGACTGTCCATCCAAGAAATGCTCGGTCACTCTTGGGATGCCGATGATAGAATTGTGGAAGAGGACGAAAACATGCCGACACCGGTGCGTGTCCATCACGAACCTAGGATTCGTACCGATTCAGATACGATGGCGCCGCGCTACAGCTTGGAACGGCCCTCGAATGAGTACTCACTTGGAAGCAAGGACTATGGTCGCCTGTCTATCGAGGACGATTTCGACGAAGATTGGGCACGCGGCGAAGACGAAATGGCTTATAGCAACCAGCTCTCGCCTCCAAGTTCGATGAATTCGCGCGGCGTCAGCCCTAACTTGCGCACGGCGCTTGCCAGGATTAGTGGTAATGGCAATGCCGACGTAACGCACGACCCCAGTGAGAGGCCTAGAAGCAACATATTCGACTGGAGCGAACCAACCCAAGAGAAGGCCGAACTGGGCAGCTCTTTCCGACCCAAGACCGCCTATGGAAAGCAAGAACTCGACATCAGAGGCGGTCGTGCCGCTATCCGGAAGGGACCTTCGGCCATGCACGTCCGCAGCCAGAGTGTGCCAGTGGTCCACGATCCTACAGACAAAGGACCAGTCAATCCCAAGTTCGGCACCTGGGGTTTGAGCAGCAAGACTGTCAGCGAGGATTGGGACGATGACTTTGAGTTTGGTGGCAATGAGAGCGAAGACAGGGAAGCCGAAAATGCATTCGCAATGGTTGTTCCCGCCTCCATTCAAGCGTCACAACCCAGCCTCAAGCAGCATTCCGGTCACATCAGAGAGCTCTCTCTGCTCGTCAACGACCTCAAGCGGTTATGTCGCCATGGTCGGGATCTGGACATGCTTGGCGGTTCCAATGCCGGTCTCTGGGAGGAAGCTGAGGGGATCATCGCACTCGCATCACCTGATGAAGATGAATTGGAGGGCATGGACGTGGACTCTTCTTCCGTCATGAGCGGCTTCGATGCTGCGTCGCCCGCCCCCATCGAGAAGGAAGATCCGTTTGATGAAGTGCACGAGATCAATGTCTCCAAGACGGCTGTCATTCGCGAACGCCCCGCTGGTCGCCGACGCTCGGTCTTTTCTCCAGACGACGACATCTTTGGCGGAAATAGCCCCGCTCCAGATGAGCTTCCTCCGCCCCGACCAAGAACACCGGAGAATAATATCAATATGGGTGGCCACGATGTGACCGATATTGTCAGATCCGTCCTAGACGCCATGCAGCAACGAACTGTCTCTGACGCTGCCCGCGATGACAAGTTGCACTTTGGCACCAACAGCCTCAAGGCTCTCGTCAAACGCGCAGGTGATCTTCGGGACATCTTGTCAGAGGTTATACGTCGTGCAGATCAACTCACGTCGAGCCCTGCCCGAACACCCCGGCAGCATAGCGATAGCCCAGCCTTCACGCGGGTCTTCACCCCAGAGCATACCCCGTCCCCATCCAGTCCGCCAAAGAAGTTGCCTCACAGTAGAAGCACAAACTCTGGACTCGGTCGCGGATCAGTAGACGCCTCACCATCAAGTGGCTTACAAAGGATGCAAATGATGACGGTCAGCTGAGATGAGGCAAAAAGATGTTGAGCTCCAACGTCTGTATCCTTGATGACGCGACGGCTTGTCCATCCCTATTGGGCTACGACAGCCCTGTACATGTACGAACATTGTTGATTTTCTTGTCTGCATAGCGACGGTTTGGGGGGGTTACAGTTGGGATTTTCTTTTAAACCCTTTTCTTTTACTTGATGCGACATCCAACACAAAGACAGCCCAGACATACTTCCATAGACTTGATCGACTCGGCTGAATCGATCGAATCGCAAAATTTCTCTACTGCGACATCTGTGGCTGGCAACAAGCTCTATAGACAGACACCCTCCAGCTTTTCCTGCTGGGTTTCCCCGACGGTTTTATTATTTTCTTACCAACGAGAGAAGGCTTATGACGACGTAATCATGTACGATTTCGCTAGTTAGTTCCTCGGCCCGGGTTAATGGATTGCCGGGCAGGACAATCACCCTCTGGCGATGGAACGGGTGGATGATGAATGGGAATGCGAACGAAGAAAGGGAAGGAAATGACGAGGATTGGAATTTGGAACCAAGCAACGCACACGACGCGTGGTCCACATTGTGAAGCCGGCCATGTGCCAAAACAGACATCTATCTCGTATAGAGACCTAGTACTCTTTCAGCTAGTTCTTGCACTGGAATTGCGCTATGGTAGACGAAGAGGAAAAACAACCAGACAGGATCAGGTCATCAGTCGGTCCATTGCTTATATCACGGCTTTCTTTAACCTTGACAAGCTGGAACCTTCGGCTTTTCGTACAAAATTCTTTTTTCGCACACGGCGGTATTCTTGTTGCTTTCATTCCCATCATCAGAAGACTCGGGTGGACATATGCTTATTTCCCTCGCCCAGGCACGTGCCTTCCTCACTTGTCTCGGGGCACCCCAATGACGGCCGGGCACGAGCAAGTATTACTATTCTCATTTGCGTACACCGGGCAAGGCGACTTCTTACGCACACTCCGGGGATGGAAACGACGGAAAGGGACGTGATCACGACGGCTAAAATAATTCAAGGAATACCTGGCTTTCAAAATGGGAACATGGGGAGGGTTGACTTTTTTTCCCCCGTTTCCCTCATACGCTCATGTACTCCCTCCCAGAAGAGGTAGTCGCAAAACGTGGCATTGGAGTGGTGATGAGCTTGGGATGGATATTGACGTGCGAAGGAAGATGGAGAGGTGTACATAGGTTAATGAAAGGCATCATTTTCGACTTCTTTCGGACTGCTGGTATGCAGAGAACGTTGCTGGGACGCGTGTGCATGACAGGATTCTGTGGGCCAATTGTTATTCGATTACTCAACTGGCAATCATTAGATTCGCTTCAACGTATGAGAGGCGGCAAGGGGAGATTGGTTGGTGAAAAGTTTTTGCCTCATACACACGCGCATAAGTGGGCTATCAACGAAGCAGACCAAGTGTTCGGCTCACGTCACCGTATCAAGCACACAAACCCTTGGAGTCATTCTTGTCCGACGTCCGATTTCTGAACTCATCTGGTGGCGATGTAGTAGACGAACAATTACCTTTGTGTCATCACTGGCCTCAATGATTACATTACAGAGGAGACTAAACGTACAGCTCACCTACTTGAAAGTGGCACATCAAAACAAGGATAGATGGATCTTCCATTTTACTTCCTCTATTTCTGCGTACTGAATTTTCTGTAACACCTCCCTCCCATGGATATAACAGTCTGACTTTGGGGGGGGACAGGAGGGTTAATCTGGGAAAGGTGGGATTTGACACATAACATGACAACCAGGAGACACACATCGTACCCTGGGGAATTTGGGAATATAAGAAGTTGTTTTGCTACTAGACAAGAAAAAGAAACACTGGTTGTGTGTGTGGTTGTGGGTGAAAGTGATGGGGAAAAAGAGGGATTTCCCAAATCTCAGAAACAACGCTATGAAGGACCGCTGATTTTCGTACATCGTCGCCAGTTCCCTTTGTCCGTCTCTGCCCTTTAATCCTGCCTCGTCTCTTTTGACTCCTTTCAGCCAGGCTTTGCCGCAAGTCACATCTTTCTCGCTCAGAGCAGGAAAACAAGCTCTTCCGTAGGCAGCTGTTGATCCGCATCCTCGAGCCAGTCTCGGCCGCCGCCCAAAGGCGTGACGTGTCTGAGCTCGGCGCCGTACACGCCGTCCCACATGGCCTGGCCGTCAAAGCTGACGAGGCTGAGCGTGGACGGATCGGTCCTCGTCTCCGTTTTTGCGCGCTTGATGCGCAGGCGACGGGATTCCGGATCCTCGGGCTTCATCGGCGTCGTGTCGTGGGCGTGGCGGTGGGGCTTCGTGGGCGGAATCCACATGATGCCCGTGTCCTTGGGCACTGTAACGACGGGGGCGGCCCAGAGGGGCACGCTTGACGTCAGGGGAAGCTCCTCGACGGAGTTGGTGGTAGAAGGGGTGAAGAAGACGGGGTTTGCGACGGCGGGATCGCAGACAGTGTTTGTCGTCACGGAGCCTGCAAAGGCCGGGTGAGACATTGCTGCGTTAAAAGAGGATGAGACGACTGCTTTGTTCAAGGCGTCTGACCACTCCGATGGGGTGGATGTCTTGCGAACGAGCCGTGGAGAGGGGATCGCGCCGATGGCCTCGTTCAGGGCAGCCACCCATTGCGCGGACGTCGCGGTTGTGCGGCGAAGGGGTTCGGGCTGCGTGGAGGTGGGCGCTGTAGCGGACTTTTGGGACTCGAGTGAATCCCACCACGTAGGTTGCTTGACGGGCACTTCTGGGAGCGGCTCAAAGTCGGATGCAACTTCCTCGTCGTAAGATTTTGTTGATGCGGTGTCTAGGGACGGTGTGGAGCGGCCGGATGTGGCGCGGGAGCTGGGTCTTGCGATGGAGAGGGACATCCAGTCTTCAACGCGGGACTCTACCGTAGTAGGAGCCCACAGTTTGAACGATTCAAGCTGGGGCAGCTCCTCGGAAGTCACGCGGGCGCCAGAGGGCATGCCGAGGCCGACGGGGAGAGCAAAAGTTGTCCTGAAGCATGCACGCTTGTGGCTGGGGCTGAACAGGCCAGTAGACTCGGTGTAGACGACTGCGGGACGAGCAGCCCACATAGTCGCCGTCTTCTTCTTGCATTGCTGCGGCTTGCTCCAGAGAGAAGTCTTCGACTTAACCACCGTCGGCTTCTTCGCCGCCGGACTCCATAGAGCAGTACTGTAGATGACGGCGGGCTCTGGGAGACGCTCGCGGACGCGGGCAGGGGCGCTCATCTTCTCGATGTAGCTTCCCCACATACGGGGATCGGGTCGCGGAAGGCCTGTCGAGCTGCGACGGCTCACGAACTGCTTTGGCTTTGGTGCCCAGAGAAGGGAGATGGGTTCCGGCGAGGAGGGTAACTCCTCGGCGGCGATGGTGATGACCATGGAGTCGTGCTTGGTGTCGTCGTTGCCCTCGGCTGTCTTCTCCTCGTCAGAGTCTTCGTACTCCGATTGAGAGCGCTCAGAAATGTACTCTTCGGCGAAGGACTCTGGGCGGTATGTCATAGGCTGAGGCAGCAGGCTGTTCTTGGATGGCACCTGATCGGACTGGAGGAGACTGGCGATTTCCCAGAGCGTAGTCTCGTCAAAGCCGTCGTCGCTATCGTCGTCCTCTTCAATGTCAGATACTTCGTCGTCGCCTTCTTCTTCTTCGTCGTAGTCGTCAAAGAAGGAAGAGGAGTTTTCTTCAGCTTCGACTTGTTTTGCACGAGCTTCCAACGCGGCACGTACTGCAGGTCCACCAGTAGACATAGTACCAGGCATAGCCATAAACATATGACTTGGCCCGCGCGGTTGGACGGTGGCGGTGTCCGACTTCTCGCCCCAAGGGAACTGGAAGATACCGAGCGTATCTCTCTTATCAGGAAGTGGTTGCGGGCTTTCAAGGATATCGGGCAACAGTGTGACACGCTTGCTACGCCTTGGTGGACGTTGGGTCAGGGGACGCTGGGGCTGCTGAAGGTTGTCCTTGATGGGCTCAGGACTCCAAGAGACACGCCAGAGTCCGGAGGTGGGCCGCAGCTTCTTAGCAGCAGTATGATCCGGCTGCCAAAGTTGCGAGCTCACAATATTTAGGTGATCGGAGACCTTGCGTGTCGCAGGGCGGACGGAGAGCCCAGGCAGGGCGCCGCTCGGGAAAATAAACTTAGTCGCGACATGTTTTGCGGGAGGAGCCCAAAGCAGCGGTGGTTCGCGCTTAAAATAAACTGGCGAGTCGGGTTTCCACAGACATTCCGGGGGTGCGGGAGCTCGCTCGTTCGGCATGAGCCTCGCGAGTATCTGAGCGTTCTCATCGCCGTCGGACTCCTCGTCGGTGTCCGGTGGGGTAGGACTGCCCAGGTGCAGCGCCGCAGCAGTCGCACTCAAGGGCGCTTTTGAGACAGACAAGAAGTTGAGGTTTCGCTTCGCCAATAGTTCGGAAGCATTCTCCATATATTCCAATTGAGCATCCGCAAGTCGCTGCTGCCAAAGACTGGTGCGGTTATTGTTGGTGCCGTCGGAGGAGAGGGACGAGGCGCTTAGCGTCCCCAGGTCTTCGGACGACGACTTGCTTATGCTGCCCGCCCGAGCGCGGCGGGAGTTCCGCCGGTCTAACGCAATGTTGTTGCGCTGCGGGATCTCTTGGAGTGACTCGTCAATCTGGGCAAGGCTTCGCGAGTTGACGACTGCAGATTCGTGTTGCGAGTTGCGGACCGATGTCGTCCCAACTGTTGACATGGAGTCCCGGCTGAGACCATGCTGCATATCGTGCCATTGGTTCTCTTGCTGCCCCATTTCAGCCTCCAAAGACTCCAGAAGACGAATTCTCTGCCCTTGGCTCTCGTATGAGTCTCTACTCGGCTGTTCCAGTTTCTCGAGTTGCGCTTGAATCATTTCGTAAGCATGCTGCGGCGACTCCAACGGCGAAGGTTCCGTCGCATGCATCACGATCGTGTTCTTCTTGACGGGGGATCTGAGCTGGAGAGCCATCGGCGGGGGCTGTCTGCGCGACTGCACAGGCTCCTTGCGCTCAGTGAACGTAATGCTCTCGTCCCCGATACGGCGATGCCAGCGAGCGCCTCTGTTCGCGAGGCTCACCTCTGGGAGGTCGACAGGGCTTTCGTGAGCCTCCTGAGGAGCTTCGACATCTCTCTCGTGCTCAACAGATGCGTCGAGCATGATTGTCATCACCTCCTTACCGTCATTGTGGCTGATCATCGACAAATCGCGCGGCTGAATCCATGTCGGCTTCGGCATGTGCGTAACCTCTTGAATATTCACTGGAGCAACAGGTGAGTGGATGGATCCCCAGTTTGTCGTCGTCTCCTCATCGCGAGTCCTAACCGTCCTGGTGTCACTGGACTCAGAGAGACTGGGGTTGCGGACCGGAATGACGGGTGATGACTGGCGCTTCGCTCCATCATACGATTGCTTGACCCCCACACTGTCGTTGACAGGTAAAGCGGGAATCCAAGACTCATGCTCGTCAGGTCTTCCAGTGATGACGGAGGTATCGACGCTGAATTTGGAGGTGTTTCGAGGCATGTCTGGTCTGACTGAATCTTCGATATCAAGAATACTCTGAGTTCTGATGGACGTTTTCGTCGAGCGATCGGATTGTTTGGACTGATCACGGCTGCTTCTTGAATCCCACGCATCCCTCTCATCACCTGCCGAGTTGCTTGCAGGTTTGAATGCCAGGGGAACCATGGGCACCTCGGGAACTGGCGTTCTTGGCTGGACGACAGCCTGAGAGTTGACGAAGCCTCCCGGGAAGAAAAGGTCCATCTTCTCGTCAAAGGTCATGCTTTTTGTGTCGTTTGGCAGTGCGCGTATAGGATGGTTCCCGGCGCTCTTAGGCGGTGGTGGCAGAGGTGGTAGCTGAGTCGGGCTGCCAGGATTCGACAACAAGATCGACTTCCTGCTCATGATGGAACCACCAGATTTGCTCCTCCTGTGATTAGGGGAGTTCTCCGCTGGGAAGATCTGACGGTCCTTGCCCAGCTGTCTGGGGATCGGGCGAGGACGATGAACGATAGAGCCTGATGACTTAAGCCCTGGCCCAGGAGACTGCTGAAGGGGCGTCTTGGCGGCCTGATTCGAGGCTCCCTCAATGATGCTTCGCACTGCGGTTGGGTCGTTGTACTGGATTTTGTTCACGAACATGACAGTCTGCTCTTGTGGAACCGCGTCCTTGGGCAAAGGTCTCATGGGCAACGCCCTCGGATTTGACGGCAGGCCACCGGTCGGCCTTCGCTGCAGACTACTACCACCGGGCGTCGTCGGCGAAAGAGGATTCTGCCTCGATGGGCGGATAGTCGGATCAACTGCGGTCTGAATGGGCCATGACAATGGCACATCCGGCTTCTTCGGCGACATCAAACGAGCGGTGCTCTTGGGCGGAGGTGGAGGTACCAGGCCAAGCGGCGGTGACGTGATTGTGAGCTCGGTCACAGTGGAGGACTTCTGGCTCACGGAACGATCGAGTGTCTTTTGCGTCTTCTGGTTCATGGACCTCGCCACGGTACTTTGGCTCGCTGACTTGTCCATCGTCTCAAAGGGGCTCAGGGGTCTTTCCGGCCGTTGCGGACGAGGCGGAGAGATGCTGCTAACGGGTGCGGTCTGCGGGGGGGTGACCGGTCTCTTTTCCTTCTCGTTCTGCAGCTGCTGGAAGGTCTCTGGCATTTGCCTAGGGGATCGGCGTCTGATTTCCTCCACGCCAGGAGAAAGCTGAGCGGATGAAGTCGTTGCGGGAGGATTGGACATGAGCCCAACCGATGTGAGTTGCTGAGATTTCGCAGGAGGCGATTTCAATCCGATTTCCTTCCTCTTGCCACTTTGTGCCCGCTTGAGAGCCTCCTCCGGAGTAATCGCCGGGGGTTTGGGAGCCGGGCGCTGCGCATTGAAGCTCGAATTTCTTAGCATTAACGACATGTCATTGCCCCTCTTCTCTCTGTCGTTCTTTGCAGCGGTGGCGAGGTCAACGGTGGCAATCTTACTCAGGGGGTTCTGGTCTCCGCTGTCCTGGAGGATCGGGCTGGATATGGCATTCTTGATGTTCGAACCGGGCCCAATCTTATCGAATATACTTCGCCCTTTCATGATGTTAGGTCTCGCGTCCATGCTCCTGCTTTGCCTCGGGGGAGCCGTCTGTGCCCGCATCGGCGGGAAGAGCTGACCCTGCACGGGGACGCCGCCGACACCGGTAGATGCTTGACCTGGAGCGATACTAGGAATGGTGGGTAGAGCGCCACCACCTCCGCCAAAGTCAACAGGTTGGTTGAAAGTCGTGACGGTCGTAATCGTGCCTGCTTTGAGGTCCTCATATCGCGACGGTGGATAGTCGGAATCTGAGGTTGAGATATCTCTGCTGGAACTGATGTTTCGCGGTGACTGGGCATCCGGATGTACCGCTTGCTTTTGGCGAGGGGGTAGTAAGACCCCAATATAGCCTATAAGAATGCCTGCGAAGGGTAAGCAAATTGGAGGCAGCCTGTCGAATATTTTTCACGTACTGATAAGAATTGACAGGCCTGTGGCAGGGAGAGCAGTTCGGAATATCAGCTCAATCGTGCCTATGCCCAGAAGCATCGGGATGCTTGTCTACAAAGTTGTCACGTGGTTAGTACTGTGTGATATCGAGGCCATAACGTGTAAAACGTACCGCCGTCCAGAGTGCGAGGCCGCCAATGGTCCAGAAAATGGCCTTCTTCGCTTGAACACTCGTGATGCCTATCGAGTTGGCTCTGAAGGCAAGCGCAGCAATTACGGCAAAGTCTGTGACCATGACGATGGCCCCGATGGCCAGAACATCATTCCTGGCTACACAAACGGTGGCAATCTGTGCCTTTTGGAACCCAACAAATACAGCCCCCAGGATGAATCGCACGCCGAGAACAGCCTGATAGACGATGGCGCCGGCCGGCGCTCTCGCGTTGGCGTTGATAGCCCATAGTAGGAACTGCTCGATGGCGAATCGGGCCAGTTGATCGAAGATTGTAGTAAAAATTACGGCGACTTGACATCCGGCTGTCGAGGTGGGATCGAGCGTGATGCCGGTGAAGTCTATTTGAGCCCACAGGGCCGATGATACAAGGAATGTGATGAGGACCAGCCTCAGGCCGTCCCGAAAGATCTTTGAGCCATGGCCTTTTGCTAAAGGAAAGATGGCGGGTGTGGCGGCTTGGATGACGATTCCACTGCCAAAAGTTAGCGCAAGTGTTCTCCCTCGATTCTCACGATTCCTCCTCTCTTCCGTTGTCTCCCCGTGACCATCTGCCTCATGCCTCGAGTGACCGGCTTCCTCTAGCATCAACGATGGAGGTGGTGATGAGAAACTGACAAGGTAAGGGCTGAGACCAAGGCCTGAACAATTCCTGGAATGAACATTTCGTTTGTCGGGGCCGCGGGCCGGCCGGGAGGAGAATCGAAAAAAAACCCAGTCAATGGGGAATGTTAAGGGAAAATCCTCAGTGAAGGAAACGAATCATGGTGAGAATGCCTCAAACTATGGTAGCATTCCACGATCAAACAGAAAAGAACATGACAGGAAGAGGCTCCACGACGTACACGAAGCAGCAAATAGATAGTATGAAAGATGGCAGGATGAGGATGTGAGGGCGCGCGGTAGGACGAGCAGTGGCGGCTGTTCTCTCGATACTCTTCGGGGACGCAGCAGAGTGGAGAGCAAGACGGGGGGCACAGACGAAGGGGGAAGAGGAACAGAGCAGCCGGCAGACAGACAGACCAGGGGGGGTGCAGACAGTGAGCGTCAGTCAGGGCCGATTTGGATAGAAACACGGATAATTAGATAGTGGTTCTGCGGCTGCGTCTACGTCTGGGCTGCCGCGCTGGAGCAAAATGAGAAGATGTAGCGCCAGGCACACACATTGAGGAGAACACCACCAGCAGCAGACCTCGTCTCATAGGACATGGCCTATTCCAAGGTTATTCTTGGTATGGACTCATGGAGTCCTGGAGGACCCGGCCAGATGTTACCTCAGCGGATGATCTAAGCCAATCCCAGAGCCAGCATCGGTGAGATGGTCTCTGCTTCCTCGCAGACGGATAGTCGAGATGCAAAATTGGGATACTTTGGAAAGTAGACTGTAGGAGGGAGGAGGGTCTCAAACCGGCCGTGGGCAGGGTGTTGTGTGAGATTTCTCGATGCGTCGTTCATGCCGGCACTAACCAGGGGCGGTGATTGGGCTGGCCGCAAGGCTGACAGGGGTTGGAACCTTGTTCTATCCACCAGGACGCCGTGGCGTGCGTCGACTCTGTTTCAGCGTCGAAACCCACGATGTTCGGGATGGAGGGGTCCAGGGCCGGCCAGAGGTCCATTCCTTCCGTCTTGACTTTTTCTTTTCCTGGTCTTTTGGCCTTGTCCAGTGGCTTTCTCTCTGGTCTGAGGTATTTGCTCATCTATTGAATTCACCTCCTGTCCCTTGGGTCACCTATTCTTGTCATCGGAACAGGAACGTCGGACCTTTTTGTTAGCTCTTCTTAGCCAGTCTGGAAAGACTTGGACTCATTGCCCTGAGGATCTGGCAATGACAGGACTCAGCCAATTGCTGGCAGTACGTGGCAACGGACGCAGCCAGCCCTTGCTGTTTAAAGACTTCGTTTGAACATGGCCTCGCCATGTGAGAGGGGAAAGAAGATCTTGAGGTGCATCCCTCGCATCAGGAACCTGCACTTAGCCGAGGAGAAACCTGGAAATGGAGTGTTCATTCGACGCAACGGCCGTCCCTAGCGCGTTTTCAAGCTGCATATGTCCTGGACTCCTGGTTGATCGAAACATGAGGACTCGAACGCCTTCTCTCTGGGAGCAATCGTATTTGGTAGAGCCATCCTCAGTTCTGACAGGGTGACATGTGTTTCCATCATGCGGCCACGCGCATCGTCCTCGTCCTTGTCCTCTCTCTCTCTCACTCTCACTCTCCATCGACCAAGGCCACGCCGCCACCGTACTCCTGTAGTCAGGTCGAGCCGTGTGAAAATAAGGTGAGGTAAGGGAGAGCCAGCCGCAGGCTAGGTAATCGGATGGCGGGCACAGGGAAGAAGCCGGTGGCGCCAGGGGCAGTTCTGCAGCCGCCCAGACTTGGGGTGGGGGACTGAAGAGAAAAGGGCTGAGGTGCTTACCTTGTGTCTGTGCCTGTGTACGAGTAGTAGAGAACCTTCTGCCTACTACGTAGTGTTCCTGAGATTTGTCAGGGGCTTCAATGTTTCTTGGCACACCCTCTACAGTGGGGACAGGTGACGAGGGTTTCCCTGTGACAGCTGGAGACCACGAGGGCGTGCTGCAGAGACCGAGAGCACAGTTGATTAGCCAAGGTCGGACGGGAAAGCTGTTCCCCCATAGGCTATTCAATCAAGCTTTGGCCGCCCAGTTGTCTAGCGTTTCGGCTGCTACCGAATCCGACCAGAGACGCGGTCTCGTGAATGGCCTGTTCAACTTCTTACACACCAACTTCCCAGTATTGTAATTCCATACCTCCAATCCTCCATCACGACTCTTTGACTCCACGCGGGTATGCGGGGGGCGGCGCAGGTACGCAGTGACAGACAGCTACCTACGCAAGATTATTTCTACCGCTTCTGCATGCGCCTTTGTTTCCCAGCTTCCCTTCCACTCGGTGCCCTTGGTGCAACTTCTGTCAAATACTCTGCAGTAGCCTTGGCACTAGTAGCCTATTCTCTAACGACGATGCTCGTGGGCTTCCGGAAGATGTACTACCGTTGAGGCAAAGTAATGGAATTAGATACACCTGCTGCACAAGAACAACAACAGCAACACAATGAGGGACGGGCCTCGGCTTCAGGAGGGAGTGCGGCAAACAACTGACGAGACTTGGAGAGAAGTTGCAAAGACGATAATTTCCAGCTTTCAAGGACTCGGGGACGCACCAAAGCACACCCCATCAACCTTCCTGGGCTTGTCCGCGATCGGCATCCGTCATTTACCCCACCTTACATAGGTAATCCAGGTCAACCGTCATGGTAACCTTCTCTCTCGGTATCGGCAGCAATCCAAGGTCTGGGACAAGCGTCTCTCGAGAGAAATAAACTTCGCCGACTGACACCTCCTGTGGCGGGATCAGGCTCGAACCCGTCGGGCTTTGAAGGACGTTGAGGTTTTTTTCCCCAACGGCCTTCAGGCCGAGCGGGCTTTGGAACATGTCCTCTCCCTTGCCGCTGACTCGAGGCGACTCGGACACTTGGACGAAGTAATGAATACGGTCGCGGGAATCCCACCGCGACCAACGCTACCGTGGTCCGCATCGACGAGATGCGGCCGGGGACTCGCCTCCACACCTTATCCGGTAGTTCCGCCCTCCGCGCCGCTCGTCCACAGACAACTGAAAAAAGGATCATTGAAAGAGCCACTTAGCAAAGACCCTGCTTGCATGACCGCTAGCTCCTTGGTGGCACGTGTTGATGACAGCGGGAGCCAAAAGCACCACGTTGGGGTTGGCTAGCAGGCTGGACCTACTCGATCCAGTCTGGCGTGGTTTGCGTTGCCGTTTGCCGCGCCGCTAAACCCCATCACCTCACTCCGCATGATCTCTCTTCCCTCACTTCGGAGCCGGGCCCGAAAGGTACCCCGCTAAGAACCTCACTCGGCCCGGTCGCCGCCCAATGAGTCGATTGGGGCGGCCGAAGGTGGGCGTAAACAGCGTATCTGGCTCTGTCGCGTCATTGGATGGCGGTTTTGTTATCACGTTGGTGAGGGGAGAATACAAAGGTAGACAGGAAGCCGCGAGCATGGAACAATTAGCAGTATCGAAACAGACACTCTCCTGCCACATCAATAAACCAATCTTGTTCTTCATTTTAACAATTCACCATGCCTCGTACAGAGCTCGAATACCCCAAAGAGCCATACGGCACAGTGAAACGGTACAGCCCGCGTGGTACGCCGTCTCTTCTTCGTGAGTTCGGCGAGCCTTCAACTAACAATATTCAAGCAACCTACGCTCTCCGGACAATTCACACCATCATTAACACCAGCCCCGTCCTCCACGTCTCCTTCAACGCCCAGGCTCCCCCTTCCCCAACATCCTCCCTATGCTCGGCCAAATGGGCTCCTTCGCCCGCCCCTCAGCCGACGAAGGCGACGTCCTCGACCTATACCTCCACGGCTACGTCTCCTCGCGCGTAATGAATACAAGCCGGCAGGCGCCCGGTTCCGCCTCCGATGCTCCGCCAGGACTCCCCATCTGCGTAGCAGCATCCCACCTGGACGGCCTAGTCCTGGCCCTCACCCCAAACTCCCACAGCTATAACTACCGTTCCGCCATACTCTTCGGCCACGCCACCGTCGTAGAGGACATCAACGAGCGCCTGTACGCGATGGAGCTCATCACCAACGGCGTCGTGCCGGGCCGTTGGGCGCATAGCCGCGTCCCGCCCAACAGGGCCGAGATGTCGTCCACGAGCGTGCTCAAAGTCACGATCGCGACAGGGAGCGCAAAGATCCGGGAGGGCCCGCCAGGCGACGAGAGGCACGATAAAGAGGATGGGGAGGTCACGGGGAGGGTTTGGACGGGGGTTGTGCCGGTATTTCAGGTTCTTGGGGAGCCGATTGCCGGGCCGTATAATGAGGTTGGCGAGGTGCCGGGGTATTTGGAGGGGTATGTGCGAGATTCGAATGCGTCTACGAAGCAGTTGGCTGTTGAGGTGGCTACAAAGGTAGTTGCTAAAAAGAACAGCGAGAATGAGTGAGAGTTACCAGGATGAGTGCGCTTGGTCCTGGATTTCGCAAAGATTAGAGATAGGCTGATAGACTACAGATGGGAGATGAAAGAAGCGCAAAGAAAGATGATGAAATGGCGATATTTGACTGCAACTCAAAAAACAATGTCGTGAACAAGTCTATTTCAGGCGCGTGGTAGAGGCTCATTACAGTATAACTACATGTGTGGGTGTATGTACAGAGAGCAAGCACTTTCGTCTCCGGGTGAAACTGCTCGTCTTCTAACTCGATCCAGCTTTTGCAAGCACCTTCTCTCAGCATGCGATTACCACAACTCCCAAATTTTGTCCGGCAAAACAATCCGCATAACCTCCCAATGGCCTAGAGCGCTCTTCTCGTGCCACTTAGTCAGCTGCTCGGTGCTGTTATCCGTCAAAATGCCGTAGTCACCCTGTAGGAAGTGCTTGGGGAAGACCTCATGCGCCGGCATCAGGAATGCGCGGCGGGTGCGGCTGCCCAAAAAGTCATCGTCCACGGGGGGTCTGAACTTGAGCTTTCCAGAAGTCTTTTTGCAAAAGATGACCATGTTGGTGAAGTCTTGACCCTCCTCCTCAATCTTCTCCTTGGAGGGATGCTCCGACTCACGGAAGATGCGGCAGGAAGGGAAGACTTGCTTGATCGTGTCCACGACGAGCTTGGGGGCCGGATGGAGGAAGTCTCCGGCGTAGTTCTATGGATTATGTTGTCAGTATAAATGAATCACTGGGAAGAGGATGCAGAGATAATTACGACTTACAATTGCAATGGCGCCGTCTGGCTTAAGAAGCGAGTTGAGGCCCTGAAGAAACTCGAGAGTGAAGAGGGGCACTGGCTCGGCACCGCCGGTGAAGACGTCGTGGACGATGTAGTCGTATCTCGCGTCCGGGTCGTCGGCGAGCTTGCGCGTGTAGCTTACTGCGTCTGCGATGATCGGAGTGTGGTTGGACGGGAGTTGGAAATACTTGGAAGCAAATTCATGCACGACGGGGTCAATCTCGACAATTGTTGTATCGACACCGTGAGCAACCAAAGCCGCAGGTGTAGTGCCAATACCGAGACCGCTACTCCTCGTCAGTACTTGCTTTATGAATCGCCTGCTTTGGCCACGACTTACATGTTGAGGGCCTTGGCCTCGGTGTCAGGGACGGCCTTTGAGGTCTTGACGAGTCGAACGGCCTCCAACATGACGAATACACCATAGATGGGCTCCGCAATGCGCGGGCCCTTGTGCTTTACCCACTCGCCACCAAGGAGCGAGTGATCGCATCTCATCACCCGGTAGCCATGCTTGATACTCTCTAATACGGAGACGTATCCCGTGATGGACTCTTTGCGATCCAGCAGGAACCAGTTGTCCGCTTGCAAAGTGGTGTTAAGCGAAGCCGCGGCCATGGGCGTCAAGGCATGCGGGTTCAGAACAGCCGTGTGCAGGACGGCCGGGATGGCAAAGAGCAGCAGCTTGGAAGGGGCGTAGATGGAGTAAGCGGCAGCCAATAATGCCTCGAGGCCGATTCTCGTCTGGAAGAAGGACTTGCCAATGTAGGTCTGCAGGTAGTCGCCCGACAGCTTCTCCACGAATCTAAAGAGTCCCCAAGACCCCAACCCAGGAGCCGCATCGGCGACAAATTTCGGTAGCTTGGAGAGGTTGACCTTCTCCATCTCAGTCGCCACGCAGCTCACCGAGATCAAAATCAGGGGGAACAACGTAACGGCTTCCATAACCAACGGACCCCAGTACGCAGTTAGAAAAGCGCTCGTCTGATACAGATAGAACTGGATCGTGGGAATGCAAAGGGCGACGACCGGCAGCAGCGTAGCCGGGTTGAAAGGCAAGGTGCGGTTGAGGACGACGTTGCCGGCCCAGCCGAAGAAGCAGGCGACCATGACAAGCTTGGCATGGTATATCGACGACGGGATGGAGCCGTAGACGGGCGACATGGCCAGCTGGGAGACGTTGCTGTATGTGGCGGCGAGTGCGATGAGGATGGAGGCCTTGAGATACGCTGAGGCCTGCTGCTTGAAGAATCTGCCTTTGGTCTGGCCCTTGGCCTTTGCTGCGAGGCTCTTCAACTCCTTTTCGAACCTTTCGGGCGTGAAGCCCTCGGGGGCGTCCGCGACCTTGACCGTCGACTTTGGCGGCATCGTGATCGATATGTCAGGTGATGCCGGGGAGAGCCGGATGTTGTGAGATGGTGCTAAGTGAGGGACGTTGAATATAAATGAAATATACAAATACGAATTAACAGACGCGGGTGATGGGCGCCTGGGAGGTCTCCAAACGAGGAGGCAGCGGGTAAAAAAAGAATAATCGACAGGCTAAAATTGCGTATCGCGCAGTTCAACAGCCTGCTGTCGAAGCTCTTTGGTCTTCCTCTCGTGTTCTCTTGAGCTCAGACTTCAAGACAAAGCCAGACCGTGCTTTGCGATGCGACACACGCTGTGGGCAGAAGGGGTTTTTGTCTGCTGCTGCTTCTCTGCTGCCGTTTTGAAACGTCTCCTTAGCTCCTCCTTGAAATCAATTCTGGGGCCCTGTGGCGTGAGCTGTGAGCTTGGCGTGGCTGACTGATGGATAATGTGGCGGTGCACTGTTCCTCACTTGATAGTCACCTCCTCACCTTTACTACACTGACACAATCTCACTTCAGTACAGCAGCCGACATCACAGCTGGACTCTAAAATGTGTCTCTTAAGAAACGTCTCATTATTTAGCTGCTGTGACGGGATAGAGAGCCTCTAGGCTCATTCTATACAAGATGCCATCGTTGCCCTGCGGAATGGCCCCTGTGGCCAAACCCCCTTTTTCTTGGTTGCAAAAATCAACAAAAATCAAACGCTATGTGTGGAGGAGATGGTCACAGAGCTCAGCTGCGCCATACAGGATGCCATCGTTGCCCTGCGGAGTGGCTCTATTCGCCAGACCCCCCCAAATTTCCTTCGCCGCTGATAATATCAGCGGTCGTCGTGCTCATGCATAGGATAGCCATACACTTGGCTATACAGGATGCCATCGTTGCCCTGCGGACCGACCTTCGTCTCTGGCCAGACCCCTCTAATTTCCGTAATGTAAGTCGGTTACAAAGGATGGCCAGCAGCTGCCAACCATGCAGGATGCCATCGTTTCCCTGCGGACGAGCATCTATATTTTGCTCGACCCCTGAAATTCATCGCATAGCGTCGCGAATTTCTTTCTAGATTTTCTCTCCCTCAATGATGGGCTTCGCCTCGTCGCTAGTCCACCAGCTGACGCCCTGCTTGCCGGGGTAGCTGTACTGATCCATGCTGTCCGCCTTCATCTCGACGCTGTAGCCCGGCTCCGTTGGGGTCTGGTAGTATCCGTCCTTGATAACGGAGGGGTTGAGGAAGTGCTCGTGCAGGTGATCGACGTACTCCAAGACGGAGAGCTTGCCGCTGACGACGACGTAGTCGATGGTGCTCAGGTGCTGGGTGTACTCGGGAAGACCGACACCGCCGGAGTGGGGAACGATGGGCACGTTGAACTTCTTCGCCATCAACAGGACGGCGAGGACCTCGTTGACTCCGCCCATACGGCAAGCATCGATCTGGCAGATGTCGATGGCACCCGACATGAGCAGCTGCTTGAAGATGACGCGGTTCTGGCACATCTCACCAGTGGCGACGCCAATGCCGTAAGGCTTGAGGGCCTCGCGGATGGCCTTGTGCCCGAGAATGTCATCGGGGGAGGTGGGCTCCTCGATGAACCAGGGCTTGAACTCCTTGAGCTGCTTCATGTACTCAATGGCTTCGGGTACAGACCAGACCTGGTTGGCGTCGACCATGAGGATGTTGCCGCTGTCGTAGCCAATGACCTCGCGAGCGATGCTCAGACGTCTCTTGTCCTGGTCGACGTTGCTGCCGACCTTGAGCTTGAAGTGGCGGTATCCCTTGCCGAGCGTCTCTTGGAGTAGACCCTTCATCTTGTCCTCGCCGTAGCCAAGCCATCCGGCACTGGTGGTGTAGGCCGGGACAGCGCGGCTGTTCTCGGCGTCCTTGATGCGCTGAGCCTTGGTGGGCTCCTGCTCCTTGAGGAGCTTGATGGCCTCCTCCGGGGTGATGGCGTCGGTGATGTAACGGAAGTCAATGCAGGCAACGAACTCTTCAGGCGACATGTCGGCGACGATGCGCCAGACAGGCTTGCCGAGGACCTTGGCCCACAGATCCCAGATGGCGTTGACGACGGAGCCGAGGGCCAGGTGGATAACACCCTTCTCGGGGCCGATCCATCTCAGCTGGCTGTCATTGACGAGGTATCTCCAGGTCTGGCCCCAATTTGAGACCAGGTCTGACAGCTTCTTGCCCTTGATTCTCTCGACCAGGTAGTCGATCGCCTTGCAGACAATATCGTTTCCTCGGCCGATTGTGAAAGTCTAAAAAGGCAGAGGGGTGAGCAACTTTGCAAGACCAGATGAGTTTGGGGTAAGGGAAAGCATACCATGCCATGGCCAGAGTACTTGGAGTCGGTCTCGAGAATGCAGTAGGCGGCAGAGTAGTCGCCGGCTGCGTTCATGGCATCGGAACCGGTCTTGTCCAGAGAGGTAGGGAAGCGCACATCACGCGTCTGCCACCCAGTGATGGTGATGTCAAGACTCATGGTGGTGGATTGACTGAGAACGAGAGTGACAACCAACTAGAGGGAATCGCGAACCGAGATTCTTGGAGGAAGGATGGAGGACGACAGGGAGGATGAAGAAGGGAAGAATAGGGAGAGTTGCTACACAACGCGACGACAGCAGAGAAAATCGAGACCTTTATAGCCTCCAATGAAGTGTTTCCTCCCCCGCCTTTGCCAATGGCTAGGCCACTCACGGGCCACGACCCTCGACCTTTCCCATTTCCACCTCACACTTTTGCTTTACCCCGAGTCTGGAGTTGGGCCGGAGGGGCAGTCCTAGGGTAGCATGAGGGGACGGAAGAATGGAGGGGGAGGGGGGAGTAGAGGGGCATGCACCGGAGAGGGCCCTTTTCGGTGGGGCTTGGCAGCAGGAAACAACCCGGCCCAGAGACGGCGTGCCAGCGCGGGGGGTTCGCCTGGCCGAGCCGGCTTCGGACCCACCCCGTTTGAGGCCTCTGATTGATGGACAAACTCTTCCGCCTGGACAATTAGCGTGCCTCGTGCTCGGTGTCCACTCCGCCAGACCCTAGGCCTCCCACTTAGCATCGTTGATGTTGGCGATATTCGTCGGTGTTGGGTGGGGGGAGCGAACAAAGATGGAAGAAAATGAGAAGACAGTCTTTCTACGGATAGTTCCCCGGAATTCGGGGTTCATGTGGCTGGAATTGACGTTGCGTCCTTGGCCGTGAGGACATTTTGTCTGATTAACGCACGCATGGAATTCTCCGGGAAGCATGCGCAGAACGGCTCTAGACGGCATCCCGGCGCCACGGCGCCAGGGGGGACCATTCTTTCAGTGCACACGTACGACGAGTTGACTTGGCTGCATTGAGGAATGAAGAGACAGGCAATCGAATCTCTCATTGAACTGAACACACCATTGTATCCTCAACAGGACGTCTTTTCAAGCTGTCTGTTCAAGAAGGTTATCCTTCCGCCTGAGACGTACTGTGGGCGTCGATTCAGTGTGTCCTCGTGCTAGACCCAAGCCTTCTCGAACCCTCGGAAATCTCATGATGATCTTGAGCTTCTTCTCTTTCTCGATCTACCCAAGTGCAATGGTAGGATCCCATACAAATTTGGTTAAATCAGCCAAACGCTGGGAAAGCTGTTCTAGAGCCATAGCTGGTTATACGTATATTGGTAGGGCTAGCAGGTCCCGGTGGCCAAGACTGAGGCAGAGGAGGCAGTTGTACGTTTCGTTCGCAGAAAGTCAGCACCGAATCTTGATTTTGGCTCAATGATCAACGTATGCACTGTGGGAGACAAGGCCTGGGCTTTGCGAGTTGCCAAGTACGCCCCACAGACAGAGCATATGGCGGTGCACGAGGCAACGTGGGACTAGGTAGGCAACCCAAGGGCAGCGCATCATTTAACACACTTGCTGCCACGTGAGGATTCTACATCTGCAAGGTGCTGTCTCGCTCTCCATTTCTTCATGGGTATGAGGAGCGCCCCGGCTGACGGTAGGGGTGAGACGCCTACGAACGGATTCGAGAAGCTCGACAACTTCTCCGAAACCGCCGAATCGCGACACTTGTTTGGCCGAGACCTCAAAGCAGCGACGGTTCCCACGCTGGAATAAGAATTGTATCTGACTGCATGTTTCAATGTCAAAGGACGCTAAATAGTTCTCCAATATTGTGTCGGCATTGGGGTGGGTCGGCACGCTCCATCGATCACTCGGGGCGGGCCATGGTTTCTCGGCCTCCCGCAAATGGGCCGGATCCACGACAACGTAGAGAGCACGGAGGGTCCGGGAGCCCCACAAAGTAAGCAGGCCGTTCAAAGCCTCCGAGTTGTAAAAAGAATTTCGGCTATCAAAGGCACCGAATTGATGAGGCACAGGCCAAGCGAGGCCGGCAGTGCTGATCAAGCGGCACGGCCACTGCCATCCGGTGTTGAGAACGATGAGATCCTCCATGGCGTCAACTTCTATATGATTTGCGCCCAACGAGTCACCATCTCGAAGCAAAAGGGTGTACGAAGATGAATAACCGCCTCGGAGAAGAATGGGATGGGAAGGTTCGATGAACCTAAGAGCGCGTGTTGCTACGACATAAGAGCGATGACAGGCGAAAAGCATGCCAAACAGAGTGGCCATGACGCAGTCGCGATCGGTGATATGAGCGGAGCGAGAAGTGCGAAGTCTGTAGAGAAGAACTCTATCTTTGGTGTTGTAGCGGTCGATGGAGCCATCCTCGGCGCGACCCATGGGCTGACGGGCCAGTTGAACATGGAGAGCGGTTGGGGCGGGCGGGGAAAGGGCAGCCTCCCAAACCTTGTCTTGCAGTTCCAGAGGTAGATTGGGAAAAAGAGTTAAGGTATTCAATGCTGATGATGAGGAGGGTTATATTGTTGTAGCCGTTGCCGATGCCGATGCTGAGGATGATGCCCATTGGCTTTTAGATGGAAGCTGATGGATGAGATGGCGGAGACGCATGATTGTCGTCCAATACCGGAGCCCAGTCCGGGGTGATTGGACGGGGATGGAGGGGTTTTTGGAGGCGAGTTCACGGTGGTGTCGATCTTGGACGGCCAAAGGGCTTGTTGATCGAGAAGGCGAATGAATGGCAGCTGAAGATGAGGAGAGGACCAAGAAACGGAGGCGGCAGCGCGATTGTTGGCCCCAAGACGATTCAATGCAGACAAGAGAACGCGGGGAAGTTCGCAATCGTTAATTGGCTCATTGTGGCCACGGCGTTGGGATGTCGAGCATCGAGGTGGAGGAGGTACGCCGCACAGAGGCAAAGAGGCGGAAAATCAGGGTTGCTGGTGGGAGGATGCAGGAGGAAGTGACAGGGAGGCTTTTCAATGACATGGGCCAATGGACGCGGGAACGTTCCGACTTTCCGCCTAGGGCCATTCGCCGCCCCGAACGTTTGCCTTAGGTGCCTCGAGGTAAGGTACCTTGGGGGACCAACGGCAACTTGCACGAGAAACACTGCTGAAAGATCATCAGGGGAGCAATCAGACTTGGAATCGCTAATCGCAACATGTCTTCATCGCAGTAGGCCACTGGGCTTGTAAGATATCACGACCGTTGCCACAATGCCACCTGTCTGATCTCTGATCTCTGGTCTCTAAACCCAGCTCCGAACTCATTCCCACCCGCTGCGAACCATCCGACATGCCGTCCATCTGGCCTCCAGTGTAATCCTCACACAGCCCACCGTTGAGCGAATGTGAATTGAGATATGACCCATGCCCCCCATGCCTGCGATCGGGACCGCAAGCCTGGCCCCAGGCCACATCCCTGACCGGTCAGAGAGCCTCGACCCGACCGTGTTTCCCGGGGCACGCTGCACATGTTGCAAAGGTGGGATACGATGACGTGGGCACAAGGATGCCGTCGACTTTCCATCCTCCCCATCCATGTTTTCAGAACTGACTAACACCGAAAGACAGTCACAGAGCGGGATTTTGAAGGCTTCGCCTCGCCTCGGGGGTTTTCTCGACACCTGCTCTGGAAAAGCAAACAGGATACCATGGCTACCTTGTCCAGATCTAACCCCCCGCGATGCGCTGTCCAACCTCACATCATTTTTGAGCTTAGCTTACCCTGCCTTGCTTCGCAGGCGCAGCAGAGCACGGAGGAGCGAGGCATCTTATCCTAGGTCCCTACCTTGCATTCCTTGCACACACCATCCCAGTATACCTTAGTATGCCCTCCTCTTTGACCTCTTCAGTCTTTCTGCTCTCCTAATGCCCGCCTCGTCCAGTGAAATCCTGTTTTGGGCTCTGCCTCGTCGAGTTCCGACAGCCTCCATCATCGTACATGCATATCCTGACCTCCACGCGCGTGGATACCTGCGCAGCCTCTGCCGTTGCCATCCACCATGGTATATCATCCCTCCCTCGTGCTGTCCCCTCACGCGCACAAACCAACATGTGCATGGAACAGCCCATTTTCGCACGCTCAATTTCTCATCCATGAGACGTCATTTGCCGCTCGCAGAGAGTCATGAACACAGCAGCCCGCAAAACTCAACCAACCCATATATGACACTCTGCAAAACCCTAGATAATTCCCCCGTCACAAACACTACAATTGCTACCAGGAGACCAACCAACGTTTTACTAGCGCTCCCTATTGCAGTCTTTTTTATTTAATTTGGTCTTGTGTCTACCACCTTACTTCGAAATCAGTGCAACATGGATCGCCGCCCCCAAGCATCGTCACTGGCACCGCCAGCCACAATAGTGAGCAGCCCACCGGAACCTCCGCAACGCCTACGGCGGAGGTTGCAAAAGAAGTTCCTGTCCATCCGACGTCCTGCGCCTATCGACCCATCTGTATCAAACAAACTCAATACCGGGGTGGTAGTAGCTGCCCAACAAGCCGGAACAGTCGGCCAACCTTCCCTGCGTCTGTCACCAGACCTGAGCGATGCCAAATGGCACGCATATCTCGGAGACAGCAACGCAGTTAAGCACTCCGGGTCCAAATCAAACTCCCAAACTGGACCAAGAACGCCAGAGAAACCAAGAAAAGTCTCATTCGACACACCCGCACCGGCCATCATTCCAGAGTTCTCGCACCTCGCCGTCAGCAACCTGACACCGAGACCCTCTCTCGACAGCTCACTCAGTTCACCGACCTCGTCCATCAGCACGAGATCGAGCATGAGACGCCATGCCAAGACGCCCATCTACGCCATTGGTCAACTGGAAAACGCAAGTTACGGGAGGAGTGCTAAAATCGCCGAGAAAGTGTCCAGCGTCGACCTAATTGCCAACCAGTACCGAGATCTCCTCGAGACGCAGGACACCGACTCAATACGTACCGACACCCGCCCTGATCCTTTTCCATCGCGACAATCTTTGCTTACCCAAAGCTCTTCCATCCGGTCACGCCACAGCGCCGGGGAGACACCTGCAGAGCTACGGCGAGACATCTTTTCGCCAGCGCCGGCACCGCTGTGCCGGGTCTCGGCGTACTCACCAAGGTCCGACGACGGGACGCTGGTTGCATTTGACGAGGAGGCGATATATTTTAAGCCCATGTCATTCTCGCCAGAACCACCGTCGACACCCCCACCGCCGCCGCGCAATTGCGCCCGGTTGAACCGCAACTCGCACGCTCAAGAATCGAGTCAGAACTTGAGTTTGCAGATTGCCATGGACCTCTTGACCCGCGAACTTTCGACGAGCATGTTGGACAGGTCGCAGAAGCCGGAAACGGATGTCTCGTCTCTCCAGATTTGGGTCATGATCGAAGCTTACGAGAGATTGCGAGATCAGGTTCTGGAAGCGAGAAAGCAGACCGAAGAGGCGCAAAACTTGGAGACCGTCTTCGACATTTGGTTGAAGGCTCTCTATACCCTTCATGACCAAATGACCAGTGACGCGGCATCTCGCGGGAGCAATTACGATGGAGCAGATTTGGAGGCAGGACACTAGAACGGACGGCAGATGATCGACCAAACAGAGTACGGATAGTCTCTACGGAAACACCAGCGTGATTACCTAGGGAAACGGCGTTCAGGAATAGGTTCGGACATTGGCATGTCGAACCACCTGGGACTATATAACCACAACAGTATTGAATTTCAGCCCAGCCTCAGCATGGAATCGACATGCTCCAAAGTCTTGCATGCGACTCCCTGTTGATTTCTGATTTGCGATGAGCTGTGTTAAAAAACATGACGATGTCGACGAAGCTGAGTACATTGTAAAGAACCTCACCAATTGACGGTTCCATTTTGCTGAGGTGCCGCATTCGACGGCATTATATAATCAATTACCCTTAGGGACGAAGACCGCTACAATCCATTAATACACCCGTCCCGAATAGGCGGACTCATCCAGCATTGCGGGAGCCCACTCCACTGCACTGGTGACTGGGTAGCCGTACCCCGCCTACCGTAAGGCAAGGAATGTTCCACAGGTAACTTCCATGGACGCGACTAATTACCTACCGCCGCGTGCACTTTCTCTGCCTCGTTCAACATCGACATTAACATTGCCATCTTCCTGCTCTCCAACGTGTGCACCGTGGCACTGAGAGAGTTTTGCTTTCGATACCCAAGCATATGCTCAAATAGGATATACGCATAGGTTCCCATCATGGACGACGATTTTGGTGCCGACGAAGACTTCCTAGCAGCTCTAGCGTCGTCGAACCCGGCACATTCACGCCCCGATGCCCAACAATCTCGTCCTCGTGTGCAGCAACCAACTCCGCAGAAGATCCAGCAGCCAACACCGCAACGTTTGGATAGACCACCGCCCGCAAATCCTTCTTCAAGTGGCAAGATTGTGCAACCCACACCACAAGCCCTTCCTCAACGAGGTTCTGGGTCCGCCATTCTCGTGTCTCCGCGGCAAAGAGGCAACCCAGTGCTCGCATCTCTAAAGTCGATGCCGTGGGAGTACAGCGACATAGTGGCCGACTACGGCCTTGGTTTAACGACATGTGCATTGTTCTTGAGGTTGGTTGGCTACTCAATCAATTCCCTCAAGCTCATAGCTTGCTGACGGGTGTTTGCGCCTAGTCTAAAGTACCACCGCCTCCATCCTGAGTACATCCATACGAGAATCCGAAATCTCCAAGGCAAATACAACCTGCGCATCGTCTTAACCATGGTCGACATTCCGAATCACGAGGAGGTCTTGCGCGAGTTATCCAAGACCTCATTGGTCAACAACGTCACCCTCATCCTCTGCTGGTCAGCCGCAGAGGCCGCGCGATATATCGAGCTGTACAAGTCTTACGAGCACGCCAACTTCAACGCCATTCGCGGCCAACAAGCCTCGACGTATGCTGAGAAGCTTGTCGAGTTCGTCACCGTTCCCAGGAGCGTCAATAAGTCAGATGCTGTTGCATTGGTCAGTAACTTTGGTAGCCTGAAGAATGCCATCAATGCGAATCCCGAAGAGATTGGTTTGCTTGCCGGCTGGGGAGCTGTCAAGGTCAACAAGTGGGTCAAGGCTGTTGAGGAGCCCTTCCGAGCACAAAAGTCTGGCAAACGACAGCTAGATCGATCGGAACGCACCGAGGATAGAAGACCGTCCCAAGCATCGAGATTAGATCAAGCTGTGCCTCTCGGCAGGGTCCCGCTTCGCGAGATGTCTACCAGGCACTCGTCACGGGGCTCACCTGTAGGAGGCATGCCAACGACAAACCAGCCTAAGAGGCCCGTAGCTTTGGATCGGGGTGATCCAGATGTGGGCGAGGATGACGAAGAGGCCATGATTGCCGCTGCCATTGAGGAATCAAGGCGGACTGCTGCGGTACAAGCACAAGCACAGACGCCGGCGCAGGCGCAGGCGCAGGCGAAACAAGTTGATGGCGCAGGTGCCAAAGGCGATGCGCTTCCGGACGGAGTCGCAGCCGCACTCGCCAAGTTACGGAAGCAGGGCTGAATGTTCTCTGGGCAAACCTGCTGTTCATACAGCCCCCAGACACACGACACAGCCTTGACGATTGTGAGCTGAAGCCTAATCGACGTTTCGAAAGGTTGACGAGCACTTTGATACGACTCCGTGTGCAGGTCAATCCCCTTTGTGTTCCGCGAGGCACTTCTTTGCATGAGAAATAGAAAGCTCCATGACTCGTTGTGGGATTCGAAGCAGAGTATAAATGCGGCTTGAGATGAAGAACGAGCCGAACGATGAAGTTAACTTTCGTGTTCCTGAAGCGACCCTTGGATTGTGTTTGAGCCAATCACGACGATGCCGACCTGAACACCGAAAGCATTCATCTGATGATTCGCTCGGTGAGTAGGCGAAGTACATTGGTAGAGGCAGGCCATCCTAGTTAAATCTAGAATCTCCAACGCTGTATCCAGCGTTTGAACGGAGCGGGTTTGGGGGTTTCGGGGGGTTTAATGCTGTCCTCAGTATAGATCGTGTTGGCGGATTTGCGCAGTGCGGGGGGGGCTCGACATACTTTTGCAGGTACCGAACTCAAGTCGAGAGTTGGAGATGAAGATCGTCACGCACGCATCTATTATTTGTCCAATGTCACCCTTCTGACCAAGTCAAGTGGTTGACATGGGAGGAGGTGGTGGACTTAAGTTTTGACGCCACGCCATTTCTCCCTATCACATACAATCTTTGTTGTGTAACTCTTTGGAAACTTGCCAGAGGACTAGACTATTGATGCGCTACTCCTTGCTCTTAGATGAAATCGAAAAGCACCGCATCGAAGCCGGGCATGCAGAGCCTCCGAGACCCAATCAATGGCTAGTACCTAGTTCCGGTGACCTACGGCAAGATTAAGTCAGGCACAGCGACCACCGGGAAACCATGCAGTCTTCTGATCCGCCCGTGCCAAGGCCAAATGCCGCAGTCGGTCAAATGCCGGAAGCCATGGTTCGAACTCGGTTGAAGCGCAGGGTACCGAGGAGACACTGCCATATACAGAAGGTCGACGATTTATGTTACAACCCCTAATTACCTAGTACTTTGCTCTGTACACAGTAACTGTAGGTATGGTTGAGAACTCGCGAGCCCAGAAGTCCCTCCGGACGCTCGGGGATTTCGATTCGCCAGCATTCGTTTCCTCCCCTTCCCGTATGGAAACCAATGTTGCATTAAACTTTGGGTAGCACCGGCAAGGGGCCTTCCCCCGACAGCTGCTCCGCACGTGCTTGATTCACCAGGGACGTCCGTGGCTGGTGACTTTCCCATTTCAAGACGAGCAGCGACGAACCCGGCAAGATCTTCTTTGCGCGTGTCGATGCCAGTCATTATGGCAACCAGCGGACTCGGCCCGCGTGGATGGCTCATCACTCGCCCTACCAAGGGTGCAACCCCCGGCTGCTCAAGACAGTTCGTCTGACTCTGGTGCTAGATGCACTTATGGCTTCCGTTTCTGCTAGGGTTGCGTGGAACGAGATGATCATGGAGGGTGGTATCCAAGGGAACAATAACCAGGAGGCGTATATGAGCCAGAGATGGGAAGGAAAGACACCGGTCGCGAGGATCACCTATCATTTCGAATGACACTATCAGTAGCAGCTGGCGTTGCAGACGCAGAAGCGGGCAGAAGCATGAGAGAAACACAAGAAGCAGGGGCGTTGGTGAAAGGTCCCGAGCCTAAGACAAGGGCAGGGGCGAACGCAGAGTTCGGGGAGTCTGGATGAAAAACAGACTTTATTCATCTCATGCTGTGCCTGCTTGCGTGTCCAGTCTCGCTCCCGAACCCCAGAGTTTGCCGATTCCTGGGGTTGCGTGAGCCCAACCCGACTGACCATTGTCGTTTCATTGGCATTTGCGCCCAGCAACGCAGCCGACGTAAATATATATTTGACCACCTCTCTCTTCTTGGAACACGGCTGCTCGCCCGGAACACGCACCGTCCGTTGTCTTCTGCTCCAGAACCGCATCCAACAGCTGGAGGCTCTCTGTCACAATATGATACACCTGTCAATGCGTCGACTGGCTATTGTCGGGCTCCTCGCTCAGGCGTCGGCCAGCCCTCAAACTCCTCTGCCGGTAGCCGCTCCGCAGTATGTTAACCAACCTGAGAGAGCGGCAGCCGTCAAAGAAGCCTTCCAGCGCTCTTGGGACGGATATCGCAAGTTCGCCTTCCCAAATGACACACTTAAGCCGGTGTCCAACACGGCTGAGAACGACCGGTAGGTCAGCATTGTCCGCAGAGGCAACGCCAGCCGTTCCTGACAATGTTCCCATAGAAATGGTTGGGGTGCCAGTGCTGTGGACGCCTTGAGTACTGCCATCCTCATGGAGAACAAGGACGTTGTAGGTCAGATTCTAGAATTCATACCTACAATCAACTTCAACGTGACGGACAGCGAGGTGTCTTTATTTGAAACGACTATCCGATATCTTGGCGGCATGTTAGCAGGTAAGACAGGCCTCCTCCTAACTTACGTGGGGATGTTCGTTTTTCCGCAATACTAATACAGCAAAACAGGACATGACTTACTCAAAGGACCCCTTAAAGACCTCGTCAGTGACCAGACCGGCGTAGACAGTCTTCTCGCACAGTCGAAGAAGCTTGCAGACAATCTCAAAGTCGCGTTCGATACGCCAACCGGCATCCCCGATAATACGCTTATCTACGATCCCAAACCGCGCAAGCAAGGCTCTGACACAAACGGCATTGCAACCATAGGGACGTTGGTACTAGAGTGGACTCGTCTCAGCGACTTGACGGGGGACAAGCAATACGCCGATCTATCACAGAAGGGCGAGAATTTCCTTCTCAAGCCAAACGAGGAGGTCTTCCCCGGTCTGTTGGGTACGGACGTCTTCATTTCAAATGGTACATTCGCAGATCGGTCCGGTGGCTGGAACGGAGGCACCGACAGCTTCTACGAATATCTCATCAAGATGTGGGTGTACGACCAGAATCGATTTTCCCTTTACAAGGATCGCTGGATTGCTGCGGCCGATTCATCTATCAAGTTCCTCGCGTCGAGCCCGACTACTCGACCTGATCTCACCTTCCTGGCGGCGTACAACAAGGGTAATCTCAGATTCGTCAGCAGCCATCGTAAGTTGACCCGCCGCCTCTGGCCAAGGTTTTAATACTGACAGGTTCGTCAAGTCGCCTGCTTCGATGGTGGCAACTTTATTCTTGGTGGTCTCGTTCTCAAGGAACAGAAATACGTTGACTTTGGCATCAAGCTGACCGAGGCCTGCCACGAGACGTACAAGCAGACGGTAACTGGAATCGGACCAGAAATATTCCTCTGGCAAGATGACAGGCCACCAGTCAACAAGACACTCAACCCCGACCCGCCCGCCAACCAGATAGAGTTCTACCAAAAGGCAGGCTTCTGGATAAGAGATGACGGTGCGGGTTACGTTCTTAGACCCGAGGTCATTGAGAGTCTCTACTACGCCTTCCGCGCCACTGGCAACAGCACGTTCCAGGACTGGGCCTGGGATGCTTTCCTGGCCATCAATAAGACTTGCAGCGTAGGAAGCGGCTTCTCGTCCATCACCAACGTCCAGGATCCGAAGGGAGGGACGGCTGAAGACTTCCAGGAGAGTTTCTGGTTTGCCGAGGTTCTCAAGTACAGCTATTTGATCCAGGCAACGGACGCCAAGGTTCAAGTCGAAGTGGCAGACAACAAGTTCGTTTTCAACACTGAGGCGCATCCGTTCCAGATCGCCTAGTACTTGGACTTGTATAGAAGGACATAGTCGCGATGCATGGTGAGCAGGGTGGACGTAATATTGATAGTTGGGCATAGATACCCCTTCATGAATAATTGCATTTCATTTCTTCGGTACCGAACGTCCTCCGAGACGTGATTTGTCGTTTGTCTATCCACTATGAACCGCCATCTCTCTTGGCATATTCCTCCTCCATTGCTTCGTCGTAAAGCCGGTCGGCCTCGAGCTCGGCGTCCGTCTTGGGACGGGTCGTGCCGGCTCCCGTGTTCACGCCAGCTCCGGTGGCTTGTCCTGCATGCTGCCGGCTGTGTTCATTGGTAGGCTGGGCGGGTTGTGCGTGCGAAGGTTCATCTTCCGGGACCTTGGGGACGCCTAGCTTGATGGGAAGGCCCATGACGATTACGTAGTTGGCGGAATGTTTGAGAATATTGGAAGAGTGGGAACACGGGTGGTATGTTGTTATCGGGGGGTGAGCGCTCAAGAAGAGAGTGTGGCTGAGGAGGAGGCTGGTGCAAGTCGAAGTATTTATGGGCAAGGAATGGTAAGGCAGCTTCTGTGCGGTGGCCACGGCAGCTAGAAAAGTCCGAACAGCTAGCTGACTGTCATTGAAAAGTTACCACTTGTGGCGAATCACGGGAGAGAGCCATCAAGGTTCAGCTGACCAAAGACGAGCTCCGCAATTCGCCCCGTAATTCGGAGCCGACTGGTGTCCCTAACCTCGAGCCGATCCGACCCACTTGTCTCCGGGACCAACGGGGTGGAAAAGTACCTTAGCTGTGTGGCACGAGCCGGCTTACACTACTTTGCCTACGATAGGTCGGGAATTTACGTGTGCCGGGTTCAACAGGCAGCCGGGATGGAAAGTGGTCTTTTCTTATGGTTGGCAGGTTCCAAGAGGTTCGCCCATGTCCCAATCTACATGTCTTGAAGGTTTGGAACCCTATTTCTCGTTCCTCTCTGTCTCCCGGGAAGAAGGTGAGAGGAAACAGGTTTGAGCCACGTTCTGGATGAGACACAAAACACAGGACCTGTTCCGCGGAACGTAATTCTCGAACTCTGCTCAGTCCAAGAAGGAGTTAAAGCGTGCGTCGGGTGTGAACTTGCGACGCTCTGGCCCGTTGAGTTCAATGTCGGGTAGGATGATGTGCCATCAGATAAGCCCAATGTTACAGCAGCATCCTGTAATCTGAAGACGCATCGGTAGAATCAAAAATTGCCTGTGGGTGCGTCGGAGGGGCGTCGTGAGCCAAGCTCAATGATAACTTAGGAACGACATCTAGACCTAATGCTACAGCCGTGGATTAGGAACGCAAGACCGGCCGAAGGCGCCGCGTTGCTCCGTCACGTTACCATATTCAGCGACGTTCTTTGCATTTCCTGTATTCCATTCATAGAAGAGAACGAGCAGGGTGCACCCAGAGCGGTCAGAAACCAGCTTACATTCAACGGGTCAGCAAGAGGGCACGAATTTCGATTTCCGTCTCCGTCGGCTTCGAGTACCGAGCGGCGATTGTCCATCGGCCATTTCAATCAACGTAGCCATTGATCATAGCAATTGCTTGCCCTTGCATACTGGTAAGTATGTGCGTGGTTCCCCCCCCCCCCCGTTCCCCGGTTGCTCTGTCCCTTGTCCTTCAGACTTGTAGAGATGAATTCGTCTTTTTCACCTTACAACTCGGCGATGCAAAATAAACGCCGGAAGACCCGCCATATGCCCCTCGGAGGGTGGGCCTCTTGCACCGCGAGCCAATCATTAGCGAAGATGTAAGCAGCGAGAAACCCAAAAGAGGAAACGCACTTATGTTAAGCGGAGGTAACCAGGCAGTTGGTCGTCACGGCGCTGCGGATCCCCGAGTTGGTCAAGGTGCCATGTCCGTACTCCCGAGCTTTGGCAGAGGGAAGCTCCAGGCGGCGGGGCGCTGCCGAGCCAATAGACGATGTTGGATTTCATGCTTATGTCCAATTCCAGCCAATCAGAGACCGACCGATACTGATTACTCGCCCAAGTGGTAGCACCGGATCGTATGGTGGCCCGCGACCCTGCATCGGGGGCGGTCGAACTGGGGGCCCTTGCAAATGCACTGAGTGGCAGTGAGATGAAGCTATAGGTGGACAAGAGGTCTTGCTGGGTGATCGAAGGACTCGAAGCAAGCTTGGGCTATTCGTACGGATACTTCTGGGGCTTTGCAAGTTTCGGTTTATTGCCCTTGGTGCTTGGGCGGTGCCGCTCCATGCTTATGTTCTTCTTCATTCTGCTTAGCTTTCATATGTAGGGGCAAAGGAAGGTAAAAAAAAAGTCAAACGTCCAGTCGTCAGGAATTTAAAGTGACGAATGGTTGCTCTTACACCCTTTTCACTGGAATGCCGCTGATCACGTCCGTCATACTGCACCATTTCAAACTTGTTCATTCGAATCAACCAAAACAAAACAAATAAGCCCTGTCTCATTACCCCGGACTTGAGTACTCTCTCCCTGCCTCTCTCTTTCCTTCTCAAAATCAGCTTACACCTCGCCGGGTGGGAAGTTCGAAGAGATACCTTGGACGTGCTTCAACAAACCTTCGAACAAAAGTCTGCTGGATCAGGGCAAGAGAAGATTGAGATACATCAGACTCCCTACCTAACCCAGACACTACGCTCCCACCTCGATATATAAGCATCAGGAAAGTCAGTACGCTTCTCTCGTCGAGAGAGGAGCTATACTTCACATCACACTATGGGTCTAGTCACGTTGAAAAACCTCTTATTCGGCCGCACGCCGCCCCCGGGCCGCAAAACCGCCAAGGGGCGCGCGGAAAGCACAATGTCGGATGAGACCATCGTCGACGGCGGCGACCTCGAGAGGCAACCCCTGCTGAGGTCCAGCGACCGAACGGTCTCGACGGCGACTATGGCGACGGCGACTTCAGAAACATCAATGACATCAACAAGAGTCTCAGAGAGCGACTCTCGTAGCTTCCGTCTCGACGCTCGCATGATATCCGATGCCACCATTGGTCTGTCCGACGGCTTGACAGTGCCCTTCGCCCTCACGGCCGGCTTGTCGGCGCTGGGACAGACAAGAGTCGTCATCTTTGGTGGTATGGCGGAGTTGATCGCCGGTGCTATATCAATGGGTCTCGGTGGCTACCTTGGAGCCAAGAGCGAAGCGTAAGTGACTTGACCGTGTTTCTTGCTCTCAAATCTGATGTCTCGAACGTCACTAACACTCAAACGTGGCAGCGCATCATACAAGGAAACCCGCAGCGAATGCACTCGCCTCACACAAGACGACCCGGCCCTGGCCCGCGCCCAAGTTCTCGAGGTCCTGGAACCCTACGATCTCCCCAAGCAGACCCTCGAAGACGTGACGGACCACCTCTCGACCTCCCCGCGCCTCATCGACTTTCTCATGCAGTTCCACCATTGCGAGCAGCAACCCGCCTCCAACCGCGCCTTCGTCTCTGCCCTGACCATCGCCGCCGGCTACCTGCTCGGCGGTCTCATCCCGCTGTTCCCCTACTTCTTCGTCCCCGCCGAGGACGTCTACTTGGCGCTCTACATCTCGGTTGCCGTCATGGCCGTCGCGCTGTTCGCTTTCGGCTACGTCAAGACCTGCATCGTCTCGGGCTGGTCGGGCGTGCGGTGCGTGAGGCAGGCTGTCGTCGGTGGGCTGGAGATGGTTGTCGTCGGTGGTGCCGCGGCGGGTGCGGCGATGGGCTTGGTCAAGGCTTTTGATCAGCTGGCGCAGTCTGATGATGTGTCGGCGTTGGCGAGCACGATTTTCTAATATCCCTTCCCATCTTCTTTCCTCTTTTTATATTCTGCCGTCTGCTTTTACTACTCTCTGCTTACTTCAATACCTCTACTCTTTTATTTTCTTTGTTCAGGGTGTACACGGATGTGTACACGTCTTAGGGGGGGGAGGCACAGGAAAACTCGGACCGGATGAGGGCAAGGAAAATCCCCTTTGTTTGCACGGTATAGCATTTACGCGACGAAATCGAAGGGAGCCTTTTTATCCTAGAATCATTTTGAGATAAAAGACGATAGGTCGCAGCGAAGGGAAAAGGTGGCGTTGGCGTCGAAGAGTCTCACGAAACCACGGGATACGACAGCAAGGACCGTTGCAGGGAAGACAAATGGTACTAGATAACCAATCTATCAAAATAGACTGTGACATGTCAAATCTTACCTCGTCGACCACCTCGATGAAGTCCCGTGATTTGCTTACTGCCTAGTACCTAATGGAGTTCGGCTCCGTGGATAGACTACTTCACACAGCGCTTCCTGTAGTGTATGGTAGCATGGCGTTTAGCTCTGCCGATGTTCTTATTGTACGCCGACAAATTCTACTCGTTCACCCGGATCTCATCCTCCGTTGATAGTATTTTGACTTGTTGAAGTGTTCATTGTCATACGACTCCACCTCTGCGGTATATATCACGCTGTAGACCATTATCCCTTCCATGATCACGTCCTTGATTTCCTTCCTGTATCCGGTGATAACCCGAATCACCTCCGTGTTCATCTACTTGGGCACCGCCCAAACTACGCTTGGTGTGGTTGGCAGGGGTTCATAATGCAAAAAGGTCCTCCTTTTGGCGGCCCACCATCTAACGGCTTTGAACACGTCGATGATGAAGACGCCTCTAATGACAGTGATTCCAACGATGGCCCGAACAATATCCTCGCGGAGACCCCATGGTGAGCCTGTGGTGTCAGGAGAAGAGTCGCGGTCGGGATCTGAAAACACGATCAAGAGAAAGTCTCGGAGACTTTGGATAGAATGGGGCGAAATACCTGTTTCTGATGACAGCAGCTCGTCAACGACATGAACTCACTCTGGCGTGCTTCGTGATTAGAGTTGCCTGAAACTCCTCTTTGCGCAAATTCCGACAAGCTTGTCTTGTGGTCGCTGGTCTCTAGCTCAACGGACTGTGATCTATTCATCATCCACCTTGGAGCAAAAGGAAAATAGAATTGACGCGTTTTCAATCACCACTACGGGCGAAGAGGCATGTGCTTCAGATGTTTCTTCCAACGCGCGATTATCTGGCCATGAAAACAGATGGGTCGTCCCTACTGCTGTTTCCAACTATCATCTCTCAAGGGCTCCGTGCAGCTTTATGAAGCGAAAGACTTCATCACTCTAATGAGAGTGTCAGATACGACCCTCAATGACTCAATCTCTACCCATTCCGTCTTCGCATGCAGACCCTCTCCCCACGGTCCAAACATGACAACTGGCATTTCCTTGTCGGCGATCAAGGCACAATCAGTCCAGAATGCCTCCTTGCGCATCTTGATCTCCTTACCAGTCACATTCCTGTACTCTTCAGCCAGTAATGTGACAAGCGGATGGTCCCTGCGAATTTCAAAGGCAGAGCGCGCAAAAGTCACTTTCGTCTCGTACTTCAGACCTGGAGAATTCTGTGCCGCAGTCCGCAACACGCTGTCCATCTCTTCTTTCACCTGGTCCACAGTTTCCCCGCCATCTGTCCTCCTCTCAATGGTTATGGTGCATACTGCAGGGTGGGCTCCACCCAGTGAGTCTCTGTATAACGATGCTCAAACCAGGCCGCGATATAGCGTGCGATGTCAGTCTCACCAGCTCCGCGGATATTGCCAGTTCCAGGGACAGCCGAGTTGATCTGCACGAGGGTCTGCGTAAGCGAAAGAGTGTCTTCCAAGGATACATCCCGTGGATCATCGTATTCCTTATGCCCCTCAGTGCAAAGAAGGACCACGGTGGAAGATGAATTCAGACCCAGCTCGGCCTTGTCCGAATCGGTGAGCCGGCGGAGAGCGGCCAGAGACGCTGCACCACAAGGTCCAGCGGAAACTCCGAGAGATTGGAGAAGCTTACAAGCCACATGCGTCTCGAAGTCGTTCACCGTTCCGGTGGCATCAACACCAGATTTCAGGATAGGCCAGGCAATGCTCGAAACTGTGCCACAGTTGAGACCAGCCAGTATAGTTGGCATTGTTTCAATGGGTGTCGCCTCTCCTGCAACGAGACTCTTGTAGAGACAAGCTGCGGTATCGGGCTCCACGGTAAGAACCTTGGTATCTCTACCCTCGGCCTTGTAATGATTAACAACCGAATGGGCGAAAGAATCGACACCGACCGGCGCGACAACCAGGTTTGGGCTCACTCCAGCCAGAGCCTCATCAATTTCGAGGTGCAATGTGCTGTAGCCTTCAACCACCCACTAAGATTGCAACAAGTTAGCAATGTCATGAGATTATCCTGGTGGTATGGTAGATTCACATTCGCTGTTTCTTCGTATCCTGGGAACGCGGTGTCTTGGACGAAGACTCCATTCTTTTCCCCGGAGGCTCGGAATGCCTTCTGGACAGTTTCGTCATAAGAGGCGTTGATCTGGATGACCAAGCCTCCTTCCTTTTCAATCGCATCTATAGCGGATGAATGAAGACCGACAGGTACGAAAATCTTGGTCGGGATCCCTAGAAGAGTTCCCATATGAGCCACTGCCATGCCATGATTGCCGTCCGTTGCAGCGAAAAGGGTTGTGGGGATGGCTTTCAGGGCCGACTTCACGGTCTCATGGTCGGACTGCGAGGACATTCCCAGCTTTTGGGTGACGGCATTGATGGTGCCCCAAGAAGCACCAAGAATCTTGAACGACGGTAGGCCCAGGCGCTGACCTTCGAATTTGACCAGCACCGATTTAACGCCAGCCTCTTCAGCGACTGAATCCAGCGAGACCAACTTGGTGGGCTGGTAACCAGGAAGGCTCTGATGAAAATTCAAAGGAGCATCTCCAGGTGACGAGATGGGAATCACTGAGGTCTTAGCCTCGGGGTTGAAGAACAACGGACGACGGGTTGACGCGACCATTGAGGCTTTGGCGACGATGGCGTTGGATGGCTTAGTTGAGTATGGGGTGAAGAGTGCTTGAATGTGCAGGTCCTTTCCACTTTCTACATGTAGCCTCTGAAGAGGCAAGCATAAAATAAGGAGCGAAGTGGAAGGTCGTCTAAGACTAAACAAGCCGGTGTTGGCTCAAGATCGCAGAGATAGCGTGCGGCTCATCTCATCACAGAGGGCACTTGGTACTTGGGAGAATACAATCGTCTTTGATGCTGATGAGTCGAAACTGTATCCCAACATAACAAGTTTCTAAATGCGCGACCAATCAATGAACATCTTGGTTGGGGGCTCCTCATGCTGTACAACTAATATCAAAATCAGCTCGCGAGGGGAAGTCCTTTTGTGCCATGTGTTGGGTCCCAAGACGGATCACATCCCGACCAACAGGTCGGCGTCCGTTTCTGGCCCCAGTTGTCCGTGTTGGTTTCTCTATTAGTGCTTCTCCGCACCGCCAAGCTCTCGCCGATGTTTCGTTTTCGCATAAGGCTGTGAAAATAAGGGAATAATAGAGCATGCTGTGAAGGGATCGTTGTCTGTTCACGACTTATCATTTCCTAGATTGTAGGATTACTGACGGACGCAGTGCCAGCTTGACACGTCGTTGACTCAGCGTTCCTTGCTCTCTATTACGGCTTCCCCGCGTTACCTCACGCGACTTTGGAATTCATGTTTATAGCAGACTACACTGAATAGGATGTAATAAATCAGGCTATCGAGTCGTCGACACGTCTACAGTGGTGGCACGCTCTTTCCTGTAGGCACTTTATATTCCAGAGGCAGATTGCGTGGCAGTATTTCTACCGTCAGGCTATCGTCAGGACTAAAGACGCAAGCCGGCTACAGAGTCTCGGATAAAACAAGGGAAAAGGAGCCCGGAGTCTCCTTTGGGACTTATTGCCCCTTTTCCCGTCTTGGTCGTTGGTTGTGCGTTTATTAGATAACATACCGGGGGCCAGCACCAATCCACGCGGCCCCCAACGTACATTTCCGTAGAGTCATGAGTCTGGATAGGAGTTACACTGATGGTAACACTGATAGCATGAGGCTAGCATTTAAGAAGCACTAGTTTCCTGACTTTATCAGGGGTCAAGCATTCAGGTTGCAGTAGCTGCCCTTTTCTACGCAGTTGGCATTATCGAGTGCCATATTCACTACCCACTCCTAACCCCCCGAAACTCTTGCAAACCCGTTTGACCACTGACAATGGATCCGCTGTCGTTCACTGTCGCAGCAACCCAGCTTCTTGGGGCTATCAACTCCGTCATTCTCATCGTTACCAGATATAATGAGGAGATGAAGAAGACGCCCCGTGACTTGCTTCGGTTTTTCGAAGAACTCAGGGGGCTCCGTCATGTCCTCGAGTCTCTCGAGTCTCTCGTTCTCAAGGCGAAGAGCCTGAAAGCCGATATATCTACCGATTCCATCATCCAGGATCTGTTTCCTCTCTACGAGCCCTTGACTCTTTAGTTAGACGACATCAAGACTCTGCAATCTAAGCTTGAGATGCCGAACCTAGACATGAAGTCTCGTCGACATCGCAGTCTCGTTGTCGCTCTGGGCTGGCCCCTGAAGGAGGACGAGGGCAAACGAGAGCTTGAGAAAATGAAAGCTTTTTGAGAACAACCGAAAGATGCTATGCAGGTTGACACGCTGTAAGAGTCACTCACAGTCTGAAAACAAAGCCTACCTAGACCTATGATGCTAATACCCAACTTGAAGCCACATAACAGTAGCCAACCAGAGAATTCTCAAAGAGAACCAACGGGTTCTGACAGAGCTTTTCAAGTCTTGGAGGACCAAAGAGACGAATAAGTATCCAATATGGAAACAGTTCTTCATATGCAAACTCTGATGGTAGTGTTACAGCGGACTTTCGACAGGAACTTCATAGATGGCTTATAGCCCCTGACCCGACGATCAACCACCAAGCCGCCTTGAAGAAGCGCAGCGATGCTACCGGAGCATGGCTGGCCGAGATCAAACTATTCGCTGAATGGATGGAAAACCCGCGGTCTTTCATCTGGCTTTACGGCATTCCCGGGTGTGGAAAGACGATTCTCACCACCACTGCCATAGAGCACGCCACAAAGGTTTCCAAGCAAGTCCTTGGAAGAGCGACAGCCTACTTTTACGTCGACTTCAATGAAAAGGAGAAATAGCTCAGCTAGAAGATGATCCGATCGATATTAAAGCAGTTGTCTCTGCAGTGCCCCGAGATACCACATACCTTGTCCTCGCTCTTTGACTCCTGTGGTGATTCAGACAGGCAGCCTATGGTCGATGAGCTCCTAGTAGTGCTTCAAAATATGTTTCGCAGCTTTTGCGACATTTACATCATCCTCGATGCCTTGGACGAGTGCGGGAAAGCAATACCAGACGAAGCCAAGGATTATCATTGCGCAATTTGTCTCAATGATGACTGGGACAGTTGCAAGGACTGTGTAAACCAAGGGTTCCAGTGCCGAGATAGACGACACAAAATGACATTTGCGCCAATTCAGGACGGTATCATTGTGGACGTCAATGGCGAGGCATAGGGTAAGCGTGCCCCAGTGGGAAAGACGCAGGCTGGAAACGGATTGTTGTACTGTGTAATTCAATTTAATAGTTCTAAATTTGGTCTGATCACTTGAATCCAAATCTTCACGGCATAACGGATAACCTTACTCACGAATGAAGGAAATTTGATATGTTTAGAATGCGATCGAGAGGATAACCGTGCGATTGACCTCCCGCCGGGATGATTACCGAGGCTGACGAGAAGTTTCGGTATGAAGCACTGGGATGGTTGGCAGGGCTGCGTCGACGTCTGGAACCTCCGGCGGTGAACCATGTCTTCCGAACGGAAACTTACCGAGTAAAGCGGAAGCAGGGCGTTGGACACGATGGAGCCAGTCTGGCCATGCTAGCGCATCCCAGTGACAAAGCCCTTTGACCTCATGGGATAATGCTCGTCTGAGATGGAAGCCCTCGCTAAACTCGAGGCGATATGCAGATGCTGCTGCTCTATGTTGCGACCAGTCCAAGCAGGACCACAGCGCGGCCGATATGTCAATCTTTGGGCACAAGACCCAGTGCCACGGAGCGGGACACGTTGGAAAAGCAAAGTAAAGATGCTCGACGCTAGAGGAGCCCCACGTGTTTGATCTGGGGAACACTGAACGGGGGGCCGATTATGGACATGTAACCTTTGATGGTCGTTGCGGCTGGACGTTGAAGTGTGGGGTAAGGCATGTTACGGTTGATGCGTTGGAGGACCTATGGTTGAGACACGCTGGGGTTTGGAGGTGTGCAACAATGATATCAAGATACCGCTGCTACTTTGAGGAGAGAGCCATGGGAGTTGTTTTCTACAAATTGATGGCTTCATGGGTCGGAAGGGCCGATAAAGAGGGGCGCATGACCGGGTTGTGAAGCAGTCAGACGGCGCCCGAGTATGACGGAGCTAAACGCCGGGCCGCGGACGGTCGGCCCGGTTGGGTGCCCACTTTGACAGACGGCTCGGAGCAGTGTACCATGCCGCGCCGAGTCCGGTGCGACCTGCCAGTAGCTCTCAGGCAGTGAAGAAAAGGGATGCACTGTAGCAGGGCCTCATCAGTGTAACGAACCCACGACGACGGAGGTGGACAATGTAGCTGGCCTCCCGTTGCAGAAAAGCTTTATCTCATCGCACCTTGGACTTCTTATTTGTGCATGTTTTGGTGACTTTTCTCTAACCACATCTTTCCTTTGTCGCTTTACTAAAATAGAAACATCGAATGGCATGAATTTTTTTTAAGAGCTGGAAGCGAGGAGCGGCTGCAAGTCCCATTCAATGGTTGACTCTTATTATTGCTAAACGCTTACATCAAGCGTGATAAGCCTTCCTCTATAAATGGTGTGTGTATATGGGCCATTAGCAAAAAAAAACCAAAAGAGAAAAAAAAACGCTTGCTCGCAATGCGGAAAAACCGACGATGAAAACAGTATTGATACACTGCAGAGGATGGCCGCCTAGAACTCCCTGCTCTCCCCAATATCACACACGTCAAACACACCCGTTGCGGGTAGACCCTTGCGCTTCATGGCCTCTTGAAGAAGCTTGGGCGGCTCCAGCACTTCTTCCATGGTCAGGGCCCACGTTCCCCAGTGGATACCCATGGCGCGCTCGCACTTGGTGTCTTTGAAGATCTCAACCGAATCGAAAGGGTTGGCGTGCATTCCTGAGAAGGCAACACGGGGAAAGTACGCGCCGATGGGAATCAGGCCTAGATTGAAGGGTCCCCGCAGGTCGCCAATCTGTTTGAACTGCGGGCACATGGGCAGGTGCGCGTACTTTGGGCCGTAGTCATCCACGTCGAGCGGGGTCCACGGCACGGCGCGGTACCCGGTGTCACCTCCGAACCAGACCGACTTGCCGGCGGACTTGACGCCCCATGAAGCCCAGAGCGTCGTGTCCTTGTCGAAGGGCGTGCGTGCAGAGGTGTGCTGGCAAGGGAGGCATGAAACTTGGGCGGTGATACTTTCTGGCGCCTCATCAACGCCCTTGTCTACGTTCAAGGTGATCTCCGCGTCTTCCCACCAGTCCAACTCTGTCACGTTCTTCAGCCCGGCCTTCTTAAACCATGACTCCAAACCCAGGCCGACAAAGAAGTGGGCCTTGGGGTTGTGCTTCTGGATGGTGAGGACGGATTCGTGAGAGAGGTGGTCATAATGGCTGTGGCTGATGAAGACGGCGTCGACAAATGGAATGTCGGCGAGATCGCAGGGCTTGGGCGTAAAACGCTTAGGGCCCATGAAGGAGAAGGGCGAGCAGCGGTCCTCGAAGACGGGGTCGAAGAGCACGCGCAGGCCTGAGGGGAACTCAACGTAGTAGCAGGCGTGGCCTAGCCATGTCGCGCGGAGCTTGTCCGAGGCGGTGCGGGTGGCCAGAAACTCAGGCTTCTTGACGGTCACAGTTGGCGGCGTGGTGTCAGGCCATTTGAGCTCGCCGGTCAATTGCGGCCTGTGGGTTGCATTTCTGTCAGAACCACTGGGCGGGATTGACGCCGGCACGGGGCCGGGATGGCTAGGCATGAAATTGATACGTACCAGAGGACATGTCGGAACATCTTAGAAGGGCCGATGCCATCACCGAAGGAAGGGTGGACGTTCTTGAAGCCGACTCTGGTGCCGTTCTTCTTGACATGGTGAGGCTTGAATGAGGCATCCTCGGGTGCAGGACCCAGGTCAGGGATCTTGGTGACGGTGGTCGAGTATGAGGCCATTGAGAGAGCAAGCACAGATGCCGGTGTTGCTGAAGCTTTTTTAGTACCGGGGCGTATGGGTGGCTGTTGGAAAAAAGCGCGAAAGAACTGCCTGAACTTGGACATGGTTCATCAGAGGCCCTGGCTAGGTTGGGGTGAGGGATTCCGAGATATATAGATGGAGCTGGAATTCGTTCTGCAGGTTGATACAAAGAAGGAGAGGGAGGGAGTGGAGGAAACGAAGTGAAAGGCAGCAACAGCAGTCCGCGTAGGCCGGCCGGGGAAACGAACTAGACGGAACGGGTTCCACTCGGCGTTAGCGAAAGCGATGAGCCCGGTCCGAGAAAGAGGATGTTCAAGCCACTCTGTGGATAGTAGAGTAACGTAGGCAAGTGCAGATACGTATGCATCACCTATTCAGCACCGTGCGACAAGGCTTCGTTCAAATTTCCATGTCAGACGTCCGATTGCGAATCGCAGGAATAACATCGGGCTATCAGTTCAATGCCTGGGGAGAGTGAGTCGTTGTTCTCCCTGGCGCAACACGTCGAGCATCTGCGCGTCACTACAAACACGAAGGTAATTGATTGCATAAAAGTAATTGCATCTGATTGGTGTTTGTTCTTATCCCTTCTCACTGGTGGAGATACCGGCTTTAGGACAACCACAGTCCACAGGTCCTTAACCCGTCTGCCAGAGGTCAGCTAACCGGTAGGGACCCAATGACAGAGCAGCCCCAAAAGCTAAAGCTACTTGGCAGCTTACCCCGCCTACTTCAGCTTCTCAACTTGGGTACGGGACAAGCTAAAGTCCGGCCGCATGCACCGGCGGCTCATGACGGAAACACGGTGGAATAGTCACTCCGCTGTGCGATATACCATGGCAACAACGCTAGCCTCTTTTCGTAAGTATCTCTCTCTCATCGTCACAGACACCTTCTTTCGACAGCCACTCTTTTGTTTTCCTCTCCTATGATAACCCCAGATTCACTCCCGGCCGCCCTCCGTTCTTGCATCACACGTACTGGAAGGGATATTTTAACGCGTGGCAGGGTGCATGTAGGCATGCACGTAAGCAATACCAGCCTCGATGGCTGACAAGCGGGCATGCGGCCGCATATGCCGCGTCGTAGTTCGACTCGCTCCCGACAACGTGACTTATGGATACACGCCAGCCATATTCAATGCTCGCGGGTAAATCACCTAGTGATATAAGAAACAAGCTGTTCTGAATTCATTGCCATATGCGGCAACGCACCGACACCGGGGAAATCCATCGCCATCTTCTACGCCGAGGTCCAGGAAATAAGACCTTGTCGAGCAAGATCGAGCACCTAATCGTCCCGTTCCCATTCCTGTCTCTCAATGGCCCTCAAATATTGCATCTTTGCCTTGCGCATGTTCACCGGCCACTTGTACTTCATGGCCAGCAGCAGCCGCTGCGTCTCCTGCTCATCCTCACGCCGAGCCCAGTCTTGGTCGTAGTCTTGGTCGTGGTAGGCATACTCTTCCGTCAGTTCTAGTTCTTCTTCGTCTACTGGCTCCGAGCTGTCGACCCTCCCTGGCGTTTCTATTACTTCCCGTATCATCTCGAGGCTGAGTGGTCGCGGTTTGCCGAGAGACTGGGATGATGCAGTTTCGTCTTGAAGTGTTTCTGAAGCGACGCCTGTGCTTGCAGTAGTCTCCTCTTCACGACTGACCCACCGCCGCAATTTCGCAAGGTTGTGCGGTATACGTTCAAATCTGAACGTCTTGATGACAAGCTGGTTTCGAAGACAGTGCAGTTCAGCCTCGCAGTCCTGCACGATGCTGGCGTACAGAACGCGGGCGGGTCTATAGTCGCAATCTCTCGCCTGATCCTCCATGGTGCAAACATCTCGCAGCCAGCCTTTGACTTTCAGCGTCGCATCCCATGGTAAGCGGCGCTCCTGGACGAGACGGTGCACATCCAGGTGTTCCGCATCCTCGAACCCGTCTTTCCATGTTTGAACCTTCTTGTCTAGCAGTGGGATGCTGCTATGTCGACGTAGTGCAAGACAGGTTGATTTCCAGACCACGTTAGTATCTGGTGATTTGTTTGATTGAGAGAGTCGCTGGTGCCTCATAGGTAAGTTTATGGTAGTTGCAGCTGGCATTTTGATGCACCCTCCAGGTACTATTGCCTTGTTGGTTGTGATATTGGGTTGGGAATAGAGAGAAATAGAAAGGCAGTGGTTGAATTCACAAAGAGAATGCGCTAGGAATGCTCATGTTCTCGACTCGCTGTTTATAATCATCCCATCAACCTTTGCGTCCCGAGGCGTAGATACCGGAGATGGCAAGAGACTTGAGAACTCTACTGCATGAGACCGAACAAATAGGCCCATTGGGATCGTAAACTTTCACACGCAAGTCCTCAGTAACTCAGTCAACCAACCCATAGAGGTGCGAATAATGTAAAAACAGGAAACTAATTCCAAATTCATCGAGACTATACTGTCCCTGTCGCCGTCATCATCCGTCATCATGGTATCTGAGAAACAAGAACTAAAGCAAGCCCTGGACTAAAAGTGCGCCCGAACGCTCATCAAGAAAACTCATGGGATTGTCCTAGCCAAGGACATCCATCAAGCCACCCAAAGAACTTGTAAAGCAGTCTCACATGTTGAGATTCCGTGTGTCCTCGCTCGCTTCCTCGCTTCCCAACTCTGCCTGGACCTCGTCGGCGACGAAGCCCTCATAGTCGTCAAGGTTCTTTTGCACGTGAATCTTGAATTTGATGACATCGTTGAGCATACGGTCAATTTCTGTGTGCAGCTCCTCTCGCAGGGAATTGGCACGAAGCACGAGCTGTTCATATCTACGGCCATGGTAAGTATTCGGGTATCAGTGGCTACGACTCACGTGGACTTACTCGATGCTGGTGTTCATCTCGCGTTGTTCCATCAGCTGTACCGATTCTGACAAAGTGGCTCGCATCTTGGCAAGCTCCTTCTCCATCTTCTCGATCTGAGCGTCAGATGCCATCTTTTGTGTCGTCGTGACCTATGGAATATTCTTAGTAAACGATCGGTCATTTAGAACGGGGATCGAACGGACCTCCTTGGTTTTCTCGTATTCTTCCTCAGCGGCGCGCACACGATGCTCCAGGGCCTCAACTTCGTTACGCTTATCTTCAATTGCCTCCTTGATGCCATCAAGCAAGTCGTGATCTTTCATCATCATGTCCATAGCAATGGTCCGCCTTTCAGAGATCTCTTTCCTCAGTGTGAGGAAACTGTTCTTGACTTGGCCGCGCAGATCGAGGTTGAGAATATGGGCAGGCTGGTATCCAGCGACGGGATCAGCAAGCAATCGGTCGCTTGAAGAAACACCGCTAGAGGCCTGGAGTTGTGACGAGCTGAAGTCCGGACCATCGTTGACAGTTACCTGCAATTCGTAGTCCCTACCGTTGGCGTTGACCGCGGTCGCCGGTATGAGGGCAATCTGGTATGCCAAAGTGTTGTATCTATCCACCATTCTCTCGAGTTCGTCCAGCTTCCTGCTGGCCTCCACCTCTTTTTCGGCGACTTTCTTCTTGACATCCTCCAATCTTTGCGATGCTGAATCGATTCCCTTCTGGAGACGTTCCCGCTCAGCAGTCATGCGGTCGATATCCTGCATGCTGATGCCTAGATCGTCAACAGCCTTCTGCAGTCCTCGTCGTTCGTCATCCACCTCTCTCAACTCCTCATTGAGCTTGTCTAACTCCTCGTGAAGGACATTGATTCGAGTCTCATACTTGTCGGATCTCTGCATTGCAAGCGCATTGTACTCTTCGAATTTGATCTTATCCTCTTCCATGATCCTGAAGTGATTGTCAAGTACGGCAGGATCCGGCGTGGACTTCTCGAGATCTTCGATTTCTTGCAGTAGTCGACTGTTCTCTGCCTCGAGCATTTCAAGCTCGGAAGTGTACTTGGAGTTTGACTGCTCGAAAGCAGCTGCCATTCGTTCAATGTGAGGGGCTAGTGCTCGATTGGCATCTTCGTCGTCTGCGTCCTCGTCCATGGCAAGCCAATCCCTATATGCCTTGCTCAAAAAGTCGAAAATGATACGATCGCCAGTGACGTCGATGCCGCTTTCGAGGCAAGCGTCATCGTATCGGCTGCACGCATAGCCATCCAGCATCTGCGCCAGCTGCATCATCCAATGCAGCAATCCTAGGAAAGTGCTCCAGTTTTGACCACCAACAGCGGCAATCTGACTCTTTGTAATGCTTCTCTCGTACGGGTACCGCAGCTGTTTCAAAATAGGCGGCACTTCTTGGTCGATGTTCTTCTGAAACTTGTGGCTCGGATCGATCCGCCTGTACAGCCACTGGAACATGAAGTTGAAATCCTTTTGCGTAGGGGACTTAATAATGTTCTGCGAAAGTGTGTGCTTCATCTGCATTTCGAAGTTGTTTTGGGCAAGATAGTCCAGCAGCTCCTGTCCTATCCTGGCTTGGTATGATCTGTCTCTCAGCGGGCGGGGGTCTCGGGGTACACCGGCAGGCTGGGGGGCTTGTTGGAAGAAGCTCTGGTGGCTCATGGGTCCGGCGGTTGATGTTCTTGCGCGGTATACACTACTCCTTCTATCGTCTTGCGAGGAACGCCCTGGAGCAGGTGTCGGCGCAAAGGACTTGTCGCGCATCGATGAAGTTCGCTTCACCGAGGATAGGCCAATGTCTGCTAGGTTCGTTCCGGATGATGAGCGCTGGAACATAGGCTGGCTGGGTCGCGACAGTGCCAGGGATTGTCTAGAGCCGGACATGGATCGCCCATGGCTATTGGAGTAGGGCGCACCGGCGCCGACGCCTGATGCGGATCGCTTCATCGCTGATGCGGGTTGAGGTAACCCGGTGTTGTAGTTGATGCCTCCTAATGTCTGCGTAGTGTGTTAGTCAAAATGGCTCTATTGAAGACATGGTATCGCAACAATCTGATATTGAGGAAGATGCTGACTTCTCTGGGTCTGCGCACACTCCACAGGCCGGTGTCTTGCGACATGGTGGGAGGGTGCCGAACAGTGGTAATTCAGGAGTCAGATCGCAGTCGGCTGGATTGCGAAAAGACTGGCGATTCAGGAGCTGATGATGTCGAGTCGCGTGGATGGGAGAAAGCTATTGCGCGACAAATTTGAGTAAAGATGTACGGTTTGCGCGCGTGTGTATGCGTCGTGTGTAAGGAGGTGCGAGTGGGATGGCTGATCGGGTAGCAGATGCAAAAGTGTTGTTGCTCTGGAGCAAGTAAACAAAATGTTCTGCCCCTCGTTCATTGGCTGTGCGCTGCCCCTCTCAAACAATGAGCGACGGAGCCAGATTCTCGGTAATGCCCAACACGTGACGCTTAGCAAGGACTTCCGGACGGGAGTTGCTCGGCATTTCTCCGCATTAGATAATCACTCCAGATGTCCCCCAGTTGCTGCTCTGCACCGAAGCCTCGGCCCAGCACCCCGGCCACTCATTATTGCACGTAATCAGGTTGCGCGGAAGACATCGTCAATCTTTCCTCAGATCCAGTCGCACATGTCTTCCACCCTCGCCACTGTTGCCCCGAAGCGTGTTCTTCACTGAAGGAGATCGCGGCGAGGTTGATAAGGCGACACATTGAAGATGGCCATACGAGAAGATATCGTCGCCTCGGCGGTACTGTGACCCCTACCCCAGTGTCCAATGATGACCTTCTAACTTCGAGACAGACGCAGTGTTAGTACCCGACAAACCGATGTATTGCGCCATCTTAGAGACTGACCGACCTATAGTTCTGCAAGATCCGAGTGTTGCAAGCGCATCCATTGAGAGTCGCATGTCTTTCCTCCGCACGAAGAACCTCACCCAAGAAGAAATCGATGCTGCTCTGTCGAGAGTCGCCGTCCAGCCTGCACCGAGTTCGATGTCGGTCGCTCCGCAGCAACAGCAACCACAACAATACTACCAGCCGGCATACCCTCCTCAGTACCAGGCGTGGCAACCTCCACCTCCGCCCCCGAAGAGGGACTGGAGAGACTGGTTTATCATGGCAACAGTTGTAGGCGGTTTCAGCTACGGCGCGTATACCCTGGCCAAGGTACGGACTTCCATATCTCGCCCTCACCGAATGGAGACGACTGACAATACTAGCGATATGTATATCCTTTGATTGCACCGCCGACACCCGAGAAGCTCGAGCAGGACAAGAAGTCAATTGAAGAGCAGTTTGACAAGGCTTTTGGACTTGTGGAGCAGCTGGCCAAGGACACAGAGGAACTCAAGGCCACGGAGCAAAAACGGACTGAAAAGCTGGATACGGCTTTGGAGGACATTGAAAAGATCATGGCGGAGCTGAGGAATGCCAACCAGCGACGGGAACTCGAGACACAACGCGTTAAGGATGACGTCCAGATACTCAAGGATTCTATCCCCAAGGCCATGAACACCCAGAAGGATCTGACCGACTCAAGACTGAAGGAGGTCAACTCCGAACTCACTAGTCTCAAGACTCTGATAACACAACGCATGACTGCCGCGTCATCATCGGCGAACGCCAACGGTCTGAGAACTGGTGCGACCGCTACGCCTCCTTCTCCTGGACTGAACCGTCCTGCTACCACGGGGAATGACACCCCCACGAGCAACACCGAGGCAGCTGCCGGCACTGAGACTCATAAGCCCGCCAGCACGCCGACCTTCAACCGCCCTTCGCCGTTCAGCGGTGCCACTGGCGCAAAGGCCTCTATTCCAGCGTGGCAAATGGCCATGGCCAACAAGGACCCTGTGGCCTCACCGGCAGCAACGAACGGAACCGCTTCCGACAGCAACTCGCAGCAGCAGCCATCCGCTTCCTCGTAGTGGGGATTTGATAAGGACACACTGTACAGTATGAGGCATCTATGATTTCATTGCGTTATGAATAGGAGAGTGACGAGGGTAATTGCGCGTGCGGTTTGGATAGTTCGCCTGTAGTAAGGTAGGTAGGAGTAAGCGTTTAAAGCTAGTATGTGTGTGCGGCAGAAAACATCCGAAAGCGATTTGTATGCCAGTTTCCCACGTGCAGAAGCCCAGCCAACCCCGGACCGCAGCTTCAGGGTTCAGAACGGTTGTGAGGCTGGAGAGGGTTCCGGTGACGTGTTTTACACGGGCTGGTCACTATCTCGGGTGTTGCCGTACCTATTCCGTAAGCGAAGAGGGTCTCGCGGGGAAGGCGTTCGTGGACAGGTATGGGTGTGCGTGCCAACGTCTCATTGCGAAATGAGCCCGTCTTAGTCCGTCGCCAGACCAGACGCGCTCATAGAACACGCTGTCACGTAGTCGGTTTCATGGGTCGATTGCGACAGATGCTTGGCAATGTGCAATTTGAAAGTGCCCGCAGAGATGTCGGTCAGGTAGGGGAGAGTGAGAGTCGAGAGGCAGGCAAGTAGAGTGAGCTGTACATTAAAAAAGTGCAGGTTACGTATCTGACGATCTTCGCAAGCCGGACTGAATTGGGGTGGCGTCTCTCGATGGTGTTGCGGGAGGCGCCTGAACACCGGGGGCCCACTGCCGGAGCCGTAGGTTTGGGTGCATTTCTTCTTCCTAAGCGGTGTTAATCATCTGAGGGGCTAGAAAACTAAAAACGGAGCTTGGGGTTTAATGTATTGTGTGGGATGCATCGACTTTTCGTGAGTCGCGCTTGATTCAGCAACGGGCGCAGATCTCATTCTATCCCGTTGGAGCCCTGGAGGGTGTGCTGGCATGCTGCAGCAGCCCATGTCGAACTTGCTTCAGCCCACAGACGGTGGGGGTCGGATGTTTGAGAAGTAGAATGAAGAATACAGGGTAAAGGATGAGGGGGAAGGGCTGGGTATCTTCCGAGTGTATTCGTGGTATGGTCGATAGGTAGGTATTCCAAGCAATAGCGTTGCGTCTTGGCTTAAAAAAAAAAAAAATACTTTGTATGAACGTGTCTGCTGTCAGCCACATGGAGGAGGGCTTCGGCTTCAGAGCAAATGTCAAAGAGTGTTCTCATATCAAACACTGACACATTCCATCTTTTCCCTCCGCGCGCCAATTTTCCACAGATGAGGAGGGGAAATAATAAGAAAAACGCCAAACTACCTACGGATACGGATACAGGCTATCATGGATTTGCAAAACGGGTAGTGACAAGTATCTGTAGAGCGGGCTAAAAGAACAAGCAACGAACACGTTCCACCCTTTTCCGCAACAATTTCCTCTTTCGACCGTCTTTGCGGCCTGGTGCCCCGGAGCGACAACAGCAACCCCCAGGCCACTGCTGATGAAGCAAGCAAAAGCCAACGACCCTCGTCTTGCCGTCCGTCTGGTCTTCCAGCACCGGACATCAAACATGATGGCTGCCGGGCTCATCCCCGCTCTGCATCTGCCATCTCAATCAACCTCCCCCGGGACGACTGAAGCCTACGTAGTAGGTTAAGGTACCGTGACGCAGTCGATCCAGACTCTTCACCACCCGACCACTCACGGCTTCTGGAACCCTTCGCATTGCGCTGGCTCTTCGACCGCAAGCCACTCATATTCCATCTTCGCCCCCCCTCGGCCCCTCGGCCCCTCGGCCTCTTCTAATCCTCCACTTCCTCCACCACCGTGTCTAGAAATGCCCAAGGACTTGAGTATCGGTACCATGAGCGTGTTTCCCAATATGGCCCCACCCTCCACGACACCAGTAGCCTTTGGCACATGATGCAAGGGTTTAGACGGGAAGCTAACGGCGTCCTGGCGAGGTAAAACTGCCTTAGATCGCGCACTCGTTTGACGGCCACTAGCGATTCGTCGAGGGAAAATCTTGTCAACCGAGGCGCCTGGGCTAACCGAAATGTCATCGACTTGTCCACCATTCACCTGGTTCGCCTCTGTTGTCTACGAACCGCTCCAGCCTCGTTGGCTTTCTTTAATTTCCAATACTCTTACTTAGGCTCGGGTTGCGGGGACATGTGGGCTATCTTTTACCGTTACATTCGTTTTCTTCTCCGTCCTGGTTCTTCCTATCCTCTCTACTATAGTACTGTGGTAGTGTAGTGTACAACCACGTTCCCGCTTTCCCCACAACAGCAGCTATTCCCATCCACACACCAGTGACACCACACACCTTTCGTACACTACGCGGCAAGCTCTCACAGCTAACCCTGCTTGTCTTTCGACCTTGGTACCCTGTTCCTAGAGCTGAGCTAGATACCTCTTCCAGGGGACCGCCGATCCGTCGGTGAGGTGTGTTAGAGTGAGGGTGGCTCCGAGTCCGATGTCCAAGGCCCGCAGCCAATTCCCTCTCATCTAAACATGCTGTCAACCCCTAGCCCTTGACCGTTGCTACCTTCTATCGACAGATTGCAGCCGTCTTTTCCTGGCGTAGCGTGTGTTGTTCCTGTGTTTCAACCACGTCAGGCATAGTACTGTCTTGGCTCGACTTCACTTGCTTCTTGCTTCTTCCCCGTATATATTCCTTGACTAGGTGTCGACTGCCACCTTTTTCCCTCTAGCCATGTCCACCTCATCCTTCGACTACCCGAACCCTCTCAATATGGACCCCGCCCAGTTCAAGTTATTGTTGTCGTTGCTGCCCAAGGTGCCCTTGATAACGCGGGTAGCACTTCTTCATGTTCTACATTTGTCAAAGTCGTCTCAGTACCTAGATCTGCGGAGCGATCTCATCATCTCGGTCATACGCTCATACCTTCAGCCAGCCAAGTTACGCTCCATTACATCCACCCAGAAGCTCACAAACCGCGATAGCGGCGTCAAAGGGAGAATATGGGTCGCCACATACGCTAGCCCTGTGCCGCCAGAAAGCGACGTGCGCGACGTGATCATCGGAGTCATACAGTCGACCAGGGCCCCGGACACGCCAGAACTAAGTGTACGGCTGCCGGATATCGTGCCAGTGGAGTCCGAGTGGACAGGCTATCGCGCCGGTGCGACAAAAGAGGAGCGCCCACCCGCGATTGCGGAAAAAGACAAGTTTGAAAAGCTACAGAAAGAGGTCACCAGTCCCCTGACGGTTTTGTACCTTCACGGAGGAGCGTACTACCTTTGCGATCCGGTGACCCATCGACCGACTACAAAGAAGATAGCAAAGTTGACTGGAGGCCGCGTTTACTCAGTTCGGTACCGCTTGGCTCCGCAGAACCCCTTCCCGGCGGCTCTGCTAGACGCCTTGGTCTCGTACTTGACTCTATTATACCCGCCTCCCGATGCCTACCACCAAGCGGTCGACCCGAAACATATCGTCGTTGCCGGAGACAGGTGAGAAAACCACTTAACCGTGAGGAGATAATCGGGGTGCTAACCAAAAGCTGTAGTGCCGGGGGCAATTTGAGTCTATCTCTGCTGCAACTCCTCCTCGAGCTACGCAGACAAAACCGCAAGGTCCGCTGGCTGGGCGAGGAAAGGGACATTCCTCTGCCTGCGGGATTCGCGTTGAACTCGCCATGGATGGATATCACGCAAAGTTTGCCCAGCTGGAATGCCAACGGGGAGTTTGACTACCTCCCGACAGGCGAGGTCTACGCCAAACACAACCCACCCCCATGCAACATCTGGCCCACAAACCCACCCCGAACAAACATATACGCCGAAGATGACCTCCTTGCGCATCCGTTGGTGACTCTCCTAATGAGCCGCAGTTGGACCGGGGCGCCCCCGGTGTATATGTGCACGGGGTGGGAGCTGCTGGCGGATGAAGACAAGTACATGGCCCTCAAACTGCACCGGGACGGTGTCCCCGTGGTGTTTGAGGAGTACGAGGGGATGCCGCACTGCTTCGCCCTGATCCTAACAAAGATTCCCAACGCGAAGCGCTGTTTCGAAGGATGGACCAACTTCATGATGAGGGCTATCACCAATCCGGAGACGATCGATTCCAAGGCGACCACGATCAAGTCCAAGAGTCTGCAAGAAGTCGTTCTCGATTTTGAGTCCTTGAGCGCCATGAGCGTCGAGGACGTGCAGGAACGGGTTCTTGCCAAGAAGGAGACGACTTTGGCGGCTGCGCCAGAGACTGCGGCAAAACTCTAGATTTGGGGGGGGGTTCTCGCTGCCTGATGAGCTATACGGTTTTGTCAATGAGGAGAGATTAGTAATAATTTGCACATTCAATATCAGACCATGTAATTATTTAACCACCTCATGAAAAGCAATGATGTGAGGGCGAGCAATCGCAAAACAATGAGCAGCCAGCAATGAACGTCAGCTGTTCCCCCTTATGCTGGGACCATCCCCGGGGATGAATAGCGGGCGGATCTCCAACGCCAAGAAGATCCACTCTTGTCCGCTCCGTTCCATGAGCTAGCCAACATTATGAGAGATGCTTTGCCAACGAAACGCGTGTCACGAATACGGAGGTTTCTGTGCGCTGATCCACGTGCGGTGACGAGTTGGGAAATATCCGGGCTTGTTGCAGCGCAGTAGGTGAGATGGCGGGTTGGTGAAGATCGCACGGCAAGCTGTTTGCTGATTCGGCAAGGTGCGCAATTCGTCGTATCACCCTCACGATCTCACCCCGAGCAAATTCCCCGATATGCAGGGGCTCTCGCGTCCACCGACCCGGGAACAACGACTGCTCGCTGCTGACCCCGGAACTCACTCTCTCTCACGGACGCACGGCTGGCTGAAGAGTGCAGATAGTAGATTGGTACCTGAGGATGTAGGAGAAGGTGTTCGTGGGCTCCCGGCGGCTGAGGCTGGAGGCCGGACTGGCGACTACCTTACCCTGTAGGGATAGGTACTGAACCACCACCAGGCACGCACCCCCCCCC